GTTCTTTGGAAAATAGTTAAAGGGTTAACAGTAACTGTCTCACCATTGATTTTAATGCTACTACTCATACTGGCTAGTGACAAAACCACATTCTTTTTAGACTGCTTCATGTCACTGAATCTTCTGCCAATGAAATTTTGCATCGTTTTGGTGCCAATATCTAGGGCTTGGTGGCAGTTTACTTTGGAATTTCCCAGGACGCCCGTTGAGAGAGATATTAGCGAATTCAACTTTGGAAATGGGGGATGTTCACTAAACCATTCCCGAATCTTAGCTCGATCTCGTGAATCTCTCTGTTGCCGTGACTGCCGGAAATCGACATGCTGTTCTCCACTAGCAAAAACCACTTCGGCGAACTCCTCCAATGAAGTGCAGATGGCGGTGCATCCCGGTGATCCGCAAACCCATTTGGCCAATACAGAATCAGTAATTCCTCTTCCTCGCGTCAGGCCACCTGAACTTTTCATGGAGCGCATGAGAGTTTGCTCTATTACCATATCCGACCAAACTCCTGCCCAAGGTGTGCCTGTGCGATTAATGGTGAAGAAGCCTTTTTCTGCAAATTCCTTGTACGTTTGGGGATGGCTGTTCTTCAGTTGCATCATGTCTTGCACGTAGATATGGGCACATTTCGCGTATTGGAAGTGTCCACTTGCATGGAAGAATGGGATTATCTGTTGTACACACGCCAAGTGGCCGTCCCAATCACCACAACGCTCAAAATTAATGTACTTCTTCATGAGTGTAACCATATTGAAATACTGCACCCACAAAGCAGCGGTAGGCCCATTCTCTTTAAGGGTCTCGAGATGGTACTGAAATTTTTTCAAAGTTGACATCAAGGAAGCATTCTCTTTAACTTTATCTGGAGTAAATTCTTCCATGTTGATCAACATAGTCGAGATGTCCTTCTTCTCTTCTTCTGATACATTGGCTCCATCCAGAATAATATGAGCTAAAACAAGCTGAACAAGCAAATGTCCTCGAACGGCTCGGCTGTAGGCATGTCCTGTTAACATCTTGTCAACTGAATTAGGAGCAAAAATTTGGCATAATACATCTTTCAGTCCTGATCCAGCCATTGTGTGGCCAATGCAACCCAAAAAGGACATCAGTAAGTGAAACCCACCAAGTCTCACCATAATGCTCCCAAAGCTGATTTCCCTGGCCTTTAAATACAAAGGCTGGTCGAAAGTTACGAAACAAACGGTGACTCCTACCTCCTGACTCTTTTTTAAAGCATACTGTAAGGCTGTGCGTATAGTGCTGTACTCATTTGGTGGAGAATTGATAAATGGAAGAAAAGTTACCGAAGTTGTTTCTTTGTTAATTAATTTACTTGTCAATTGCATAAAACCTTTCCATTCTGGAATGTTAGGCACCTCCAAAGTAGGTTCCACCTCCTGGAGCCACTTACCACTCATCCACAAGAGATCTTGAATAGTGGGTGTGAATATGTCAGAAGGGATGGGCTTCAGAAAGCTCAAGTCTTCTATGATCATTTGCTGTAATGCGTTGGTTCCCCTACCCTCTAATGTATGCACCTCCAGAACTCCCAGCTGGCCCACTTCTTCCTGGGGAGGAGCAGAATTCAACCTTTTGACATTTGTGGATGCATGAAGAGTGTTGGCCGGTGTAATACATTTGATACCTCCCATGCTGTGGAAGGTATTCCGGCCATCGAGAGTGGATACATTGAAGTCAGCATTGTCAAAGACGAACTGAATAAAAGTTCCAATTGGAATAGGCTCTTCCGTATGGTGGATGGTGGAGAGCTCTAGCCGCTGAGCCTCGTAATAAGAGGCACTCAATCCCAACTTCGACAGAAGGTCCACCAAATTCTTGGATCCATATTTTCGGTATATAAGCAGAGCGATGCTGGACAAAATAGGGGATATGAAACATCTAGGGCGAATAGCAGCAATAAGTGTATGAGCTATAGTTGTCTTTTTTTTTTTCACAGTCTCTTGTGACCTTTTTTTCTTTGCAAGGCAGTCTGTGAAAACTGCGAGAGTTTGAGGTATCAATTCTTCAGCCTCCCTGCAGAAGCTAGTTAAAGGAAAATAGGCACTGTTGTCGTAAGCCATAGATTCAATATCTTTCAAGATAATCTCAGCGGCTTTTCGTACAATTCTTTCATTTTCTGCCTGTTCATTAGTACACCTTGACGTGTACCACGCGTCGTTTAAAATTTTTTCACCAGTTGCATGAAAGCAGACGACTGTTTGTTTGGTGCGAGTTGTACTGAAAACAATTTGGTCCCCATATTTTTCCTTCATTCTGGCTTTGATGGTTTTCACAGTTGGTGGTTCTCCCGTAATCTGTCCCAACAAATCGTCCATAGAAAATTGACAGTTATCATTTTTTTCAATGTAATCGTAGATTTCGTTCATTGCTTCTGAAATCCCTTCATCAATGGGGCGCCCAGCTTTTCTTTTTGAAGGTAGAGTGGCAAGGGTGAATTTTTTGTAACAATCCACGTGATATATAGCATCTACTGCATGTAGATCCCCAACAGTGCAGATACGTCTTACTACGTCGTTACCCCACTCATCGTTTCTTTCCTGCCCACGAAGAAGCACGGAATTGTGAAACGTAGTCGTACGAACTTTGATAATGGTTCGACGCTTAGAATAAGGTTTTTTTCTCTCCGCCTCCTCGTCATGCTCTTCTGTGCAAAAAAAACACTTTGTTTTAAAATCAAACTGACTTTGTCCTGAACGCAAAGAAGAGACACCACGTGATGTTGATGGTTGCTCTGAAAGAGCTTGTTCTCTCAAAAACCTTTTTATTGAGTCACTTCTAACGTATTGTCTTCTGCAAGTATTGTGAACAACACCACTCATCTTATTCCTTAAACATGTTTCTTTCCCATCTTTTCTTAACGCGCTTGCCTTTATTATCCCACTTATCCCTTTACTTCCGACTTTACACAAGTCCATTTCGACTACATTATCACAAATTAAACACTTCTCCGACATTTTGTAGTGCCACGTAGAAAAAAAATCACAACTCGCGACGCGATTTAACCTCTGACCGATTTTGGCGCGAAACTCGGCGTACACACAACCACTTCACTGGCGGCGCGCACAGTCTGAGGCGCGCACTTTACTACGACGTTAAATCGCGAGAATTGATCATAATTAACTTTTCTTCTTTAATATCTCGTTAAATATTGATCCCAGCGAAAAAGTGTATAGAATCTTTTTTGTATAAAATTTTATTTAGATTACTTGAGTAGAAGAAATTTTTTTGCTATGAGCCACCGTTTACGAGTTATTTAAGAAAAACTTAAAAAAGGGACCTTTACACCCCCCCCTACCCGTTAGCTTCACCCCCATTCATCAGTACTTTGAGTATGTTGTTTAAGACACCATTCCCTACAACTATGCCAAAAATCGCTTTTACACGAATTATTTCCCCTATTTGGCAGTTTTTGGTCTTCGTTGAGTGGGCTATAAAGCAAATTTAATCCACTGACAAATTTAATTAATAATTAAAAAAATATGTTGCATTTAATAATTACCGTCTATACCGAATATAATTTTATAGTGAACACTAATTGTATAAAGTTATAGTTTTTAGAGTATAAATAAACCCATGTCCTGTTTTGAGTTAAAAAATAAATGGTCAGTTTAGTCTTTTTAGTTAAATTTAGTTTTAAAAATTTTTAGTTAATAGTAAAAAGTAGGTATATTAGTACCTACTTAGATACTTTTTACCGAATTATAAGTATAGAACACCTTATGTACTCAATTATTTTTTGAAAAAGAAGAAAAAACAAGCAATAAATAATATACTATATTTTAGCAAAAAACTATAACTTAGTAATACTAATTATAACTTAGAACATAAATGAAAAAACTCATAACTGACTTTTTGGCCCGACCCAGGATTCGAAGCCGGGACCTCATGATCAGCAGTCGTACTACTACAACCACTAAACCAACGAGGCAGTACTATACCTAATAAGATATTGTGGTTGGGTGATAATATTGAATTAGCCTTTTATAGTGTAAATTATAATATTTGTCGAAATTTTAATTATGGATTCGAACCTTAAATGCTAATGGTGCTTCATTTTTTTATTTGCATTTACTTCAAAGAAAATACACGCAAAAAGCTTCATCGCGCAGTAAAAAACACAACAAATATATGTATAACTAATACGAAAAATTATACTCAAAACAAACAAATAATTCTACCTATAAATAACCTAATAAGTAATAATATTATCGACTGATATGACGTGATCGTATGCGCTGGTCAACGCACTAACGACACGGGCTTCACGTCGAAGAGCTCAGCGCTCACTGACTTCAGCAAGCCCGTGAGCAGTGAATATGCCCAGATTTTAAAATAATTTCTTAACAAAATCACATTTTGGTCTTTTGAAAAAAATTTAACTATAGAAATGTTCATTAATAAATTGCCTATCCATTGATGTAAATCGCAAAATAAAATAATACTTACTTTACGAGGAGATGCATGTTATCAATAATAATTTCACATTTATGTGGTTTCGTTGTAAGGAGATTATATTAATATTTATTCCTTAAAAAAAAATTGGATATAGCTTTTATGGAACCAAGATTATGTAGAAATATAATGTGTTTTTTATTTGTTGATATATCTTTTAAATAAAAAGTAGGTAGCTCCTAAAAACCGCACAAATAACGACTAGCGCGACATTTTGCTCAACCTGCGCCTTAAGTAAATCTGAAAAGAATATGTCATCTGCGAGCTATTTTAGCACACGCATCACGCAAAAACTTGTGAACCGATTTGGATGGAACTTTCAGTGGCAGATAGCTGATGTTATAAGGAGTAACTTAGGCTACTTTTATTTTAGGGTGCCGTGCAAAAAAATTCCACGCCGGCGAAGTCGCGGGGATCAGTAGTTCATAAGTTTGCTTAATGTTTATACAATTTCAGTTCTCCCACTGATCATATTTAAGAGATATATTTCCTGAACTTCTATAATATAGATTTATTCTCACCCGTTTCTCGTGACGTTTTCTCGTGACGGCGGAGGCGAGGTGCCAACAACTTAAAGGCAACATGGCCGGTGGACGCTGGATTCGCAGTGGCGACGTTCGTGCACTCCATTCTAATGAAGAGGCAAGTCGGGCCCCTAAAGAACCTTCAGCAGTTACTACGGAACAGGCTATGTTCCCGGCGATATCAACAACCTGGATATATTGCGCTTCCGGACCCACCTGAAAAACGCTGTTCAATAAAGAACATTTTCTTTTTCTTAGAAATGCCAATAGCATTTCTAGTATTCATAAAAGCAAACAATTCAATAATGCAAAAATGAAGTAAGTAATTAATGCATAACGGAAATACTTACTACATTTATGTATAATATATTGTGCTCTAAATGGGGATTATTTTCGTTAATTTTAAATGTTTACCATACAGGATTATTTTGCAATAACCGCCCAAATTTGCAGAAGAGATTCAGAATAGGCAAATGGTGAAAAAAATTAACTAAAAAAATCTCAAACATTCTGTCCTTTTTGTCTTTTAAATTCAAAATGCGTGGTCATGATTTATTTTAACTGATTTTACTGCGCACGCACACATTCGTAAGGGTCGATCGGTAGGCACAAACATTGTAACCCATAAATCACATTCAATTTGGGATAATTTCAAATACAAGTTAGAAGCCTTATTTACTCGTATTTTCAAAAACTGCAATAACAGTATATCTTTATTTATATATTTGAACTTAAGTTTAAAATTTGGTTACTCTGAAAAATAACCGTGTATACTTACAGCAATAGCGTCCAATTCGTTATGAGGCAGTCGACACAGCAGTTCGTACTCGGTGCCGCCTGGTTTTACATCAGCTACGTAAAGCGCGTAGTCAGTAATAAAGACAAGTAATGGAGTCCAAGACCCGTCGTCCATGTTGTAAGGGGACTGTACTTTCATCATCTATAACAAAATAATGTAACTGGCTTTATGGTTTTCATTATTAGAGATACCTTGTGGTTTTTACCCAGTATTAGATTTGAGAATCGCACTGTGGTTGACTTAAAATAAAATAAGAAATTATAATGATAAAGAATATATTATACTAACGGCTCAGTAGCGAAGTGGCTAAGAGGTTGGCAACAAAACAAGTGTTTGTCTGGCCCACAAATAATTATGCTGGGCCTAGATGCTTGTTCATGTGTATGTTATGTAAAAAAAAGGTCTTAACATTTTATCACCACAACAATTTTAAAAGATAAGTACATTTAACCCTCAGTGAAAATCATAAAAAAATATATTATTTTATGAGGATTTTAGTAAAATTAATTAAGTATAATATGTAATGAAACTCATTGTAATGATCTATATTATTTACAAGTCCACTGCTGAACATAGGCCTCCCCCAAGGAATGCCACAAAACACGGTCACGAGCCACCTGCATCCATAGACTTCCTGCATGTCTTACCAGGTCGTCACTCCATCGAGTCGGGGGACGCCCTACACTTCGTCCGCCGGTACGAGGCCACCACTCGAGAATCTTTTTTCCCCATCGATTGTCGGTACTTCGAGCTACATGGCGGGCCCATTGCCACTTCAGCTTACTAATCCGTTGGGCTATGTCGGCCACTCTGGTTCTACTACGGATATCCTCATTTCCAAGTTTATCACATAGAGAAACCCCAAGCATAGCCCTCTCCAGAGCTCGCTGAGCAACCTTGAGCTTCCTCATACGGACAGCAGTGAAGGACCACGTCTCAGTTTCCATTTATTTATGTTACTAGCTGTTCCTCGCGACTTCACCCGCGTGGAATTTAGTACGATTTCGTGGGTTTTAATTTTTTTTGTGGAACCCTAATTATTTTTCTAAAATAAAAGTATTCTAAGTTACTCCTTATAACATCAGCTATCTGCCAGTGAAAGTCCCGTCAAAATCGGTCAATCCGTTACAGAGATTAGCCGGAACAAACTGACAGACAGACAGATTTACAAAATTTTAAAAATTGTTTTTTTGTTATTAGGACCGTATATACTTTCATATGCATTTAGTAAAAAGCTGTTATTTTAACACTACAAACAGACACTTCAATTTTATTTATTTGTATAGATTTATAAATTTTATGGGAAAAAAATCTTTCACTATTCTACAAATTTTTTTGTGACGTGTGTAGTTTAGATAGTACCCAATATCATCCCATTGGCGTCGTAAGAGGTAACAGAGGGAAACTGAAATAAGGAGCAGCATGTTCTTGATAACAACCTAAAATAATAAAAATTGCAGTTGTTAATGTGCCTGATAAATATGCAAGTATGGCAAAATCATTCCCATGAGGAAAACTATGAGGGAGACCTATGTTCAGCTGTGGACTTATATAGGCTGTAATGAAATGGAAGTTTTACTCCTGATGAAATAAACAAAAATTGAATTGTGAGGAACTAAAAATATAGTGTGAAAAAATGTGTATCTTTTCACACCATATATACACAAAGAACTAAGAACTTAAAAAAAAAAATAGAAGTCATTTAAATAATTTTAGAATTATTGAACTTTAAATATATTATAGTATGCTGTGTAAAGATCTGAAGTTTCTAGAATAATATTATGCATTCTAAGTTTTTTTTTTTTACTTTTCAACTATTATAAGCCATGGCAGCTCAAGGGCTAAGTCCTTGCTGAAAAACTTCATAGTATAGGAGCAAGATGATTGATCCCCACCAATGCATTTGTTAATTGCAATAATAAGTAATATACTGGACAGTAATGGAAAACATAATAAGGAAACCTACATATCTGACGGATAAAAATATATCAAAAACATGTTAAATGTGCCCAATAGTGAAACTCATATAGGACATAACTTTACTTTTTACAACTAAATAACTATAATTTTAACATACCCTGTTCAAAGTCTCATTAGGATAGGAAAATAGCTGGAGTCTCAGTTTTTCACTGCATTCAATTGCTACATTGTCCTCAAAACTATCAAAGTATGATGGCTCGTCAGCTGTCAGCAGACGTACTGAAAGCCTTTTGTTCTCTATCACTTCTTTATCTATGAGCCGTGACATCTTTTCAGCGGAGATATTAAATGTCTCTGAGACATCTTTAAATGGAAATATAATACATGGAAATTCTTTTTCCATACGTAATTTAAATTGAAAGAACTTATTATTTTTGATTTTGAGTTCAAGGTCTTTTTTCTGACAAACAGTTTTCAAGTATCTATTGAGCAGAGCCGACTTGTTTGTTTGCAATTTTTGACTGGCCGGACTATCAAAATATTCTTCGTTAAAATCATCAGCTCCTTTCAGTGTAGAATTGTCTGTATTTGAGCAGTTGTCGCTGTTTGCTTGAGTAGTATCATCTGTTATTTTCTGGACTGTTGATGCAGATTTACGACTATATCTATTGACATTTTGTTTCTTTGGTGAAGACAAGTGTTTTGAAACACCATTCTTTTGTTCAGTCTCATCTTGGACATTTTTATTAAATTGCCTCTTTGGTGTGGATGTTCTACTTGATGTGTCACCATCAGTTTGTTTCATATTTAAATCAGTCTTACTACCACTTGTGACAAGTTCCATTACTGGTGTGGTCTCAGGGATAGGAACAAATGTTTCTTTAGGTGCATCAAAAGCTGTCTGAAAAGTGTCATGGACATAACTGTATGACACACCTTTGTGTTCGTAAACAGTGCTTTCACAGTTTACAACATATTTACCCAAAGGTGGGAATGCCTCAGCTTTATTGACAAGCTTCTTGTCATGTTGAGCTGACATATTTAAAGTCAATTTGTGACGCGGAGAACCTTCATTAGGTGTTCTATCGCCTGCAATGGGGTTTTTTGAACTATTAATTATTTTTTTTTGTTTTTCGGTATCTGGTTGTGAGTTTAGATTTATTTCAACAAAGTCCTCTTCATCATCAATTTGAAAACCTGAATCTAGACTTTTAGAAAAATTTTTGTTTTGATTAACATCAAAAGGTAATGCTTCTACAACATTGTTAATTTCTAAACTGGTTTCTGGAAGGCCTTTTTCTGGAGTGAAGTTAAAGTTAAAATTTTTGTAAAAATTTTTTAGAGAATCTATAATGTTATTTGTATCAAGTAAATTCAAGACTTTATTATTTTGTTTTCTCTCTTCAACAACATTTGTTGTTATGTAACGTTTCTTTTTTAGGACAGACTTAACTGTATTTGGGCTTTGTGAAACTTCTAACGGTTTTTTCATTCGGTCATGGTTTTGATCAATATCAGCTTCAGAAAAGTAGGTTTTTCTCATGAAAGATGCTACATGTCCATTATTAGCAAATTCATCACATGAGTAGGACTTTTGTGTTTTATCACATTTTCTATGTACTGGTGACGTTTCAGTTTTATTAGAATGAGAAGAGGATGAATCACTTGACGATGACTCTGAGTCACAACTAAAGTTTGAATCAGAGCTATTAGAGTCACAACCATAAAGTTTCCCACTTGGTTGCGTTTCATTATTGTTGTCCTTATCCTTGTCATTTATGTTTTGAATTCCTGGGTTATCTTGACAATATTCAAATATTCCACTTCTATCATGTTTAGCATCACCATATGTAAGAATATCTGACATGGTCTGTTGAGCAACATCTGCAGCATATTTCGGAGTTTGATCACCAGAGGCACACCACGAAAACCTATCTCCTGCAATTACATTCTTTTGCCTAAATCTATCACAGTAAGAACTGTCTGGTCTATACGATATGAAACCACGTTCAATATGAATATTATCTGTTTTTGTATTGTTAAGAATGTCTTCATGGAATGAGACGCGCTTCTTTTGTGAACTTGGCCCACTTTGTGACTTCTTTCTACACCTTCTTCTATACACAATATCTTCAGATAGAGACTTTTTAGGCTCACAGGTTCTGAGAGCTGGTTTTCTAACTTCTTCTGTACTAACTTTCTCACTTTCCAAAGCTTTGAGAACAACATCAGGCAAGTTCTCATAAACCGGTGATTTTTTATTTGTTTCAACAAGCAATTCAGGAACAATATCATCACTGGCACCCACATTTTGGTTATCTATATCACTTCTGCTCATGATACTGCTTGTAGTACTTTTAATCATGTCCTGAGAACATGAAGGTATCGCATCATATTGACTATCACAAGCTAATTCCTCTGCACCAACAAGACTGTGTGTCATAAGCGCTTGACTTGTAGCTTCAGAAGCTTCGCTATCGAGGCATAAAACACCGGAATCACCGGGAGTATCGGCTAAACTGCTAGTTGTACTGGATATCAAGTGAGTGTTACCCTGCAAACATAAATCCATAGGCTTTCCATTGCACTCATCTTCTTCTTCCATTTTGGTGTAGGGTATTGTATCTTCACCGCATTTATTTACCACTGTTGCAATAACAGTGTCGTTAGTTTTGTGACGACGTTTGATTTTATCGATCTCATTGCCTCTAATTTCTACAACTTTGTCAACTGACATGACTGCTTTAGGATATTAAATGGCAATTCAATAAATGTAATAATATATTATTTTTTATTCTGGCATTTTTTCATTAATCACAACACACATTTTCCGTTTCATTACTATTTACTATTCACCACTAAGGACACAAACTGGACGAACACAAAGCAGCCATTAACATTTTCATTTTGACATTAATAAATCAATGTTGCCAACAAAACTTTCCAAAGCTAACTAAGCGGAAAACGGAAAATACGGAATATCCCCTACCACATAATAATTATCGTCCCGTGGATGGGCATAAAAGGCACATCTTCACAACGAAAAAATAAAAAACTGCGGTTTACAAACCACCTGCCAAGCAAGTTAACGAGGTATCGGGTGGTAAATATATGAAGCAATTTATGAGGAAGGCATAAATGTTATCTAATACTTCTATGTTATACAGTAATATTTTAATTTGACAAATAGTCACTATCTAATTTTATACAAAATCTTATTTTAGCAGTTATAATTATTGTATACTTTCGTGAAATAGCCAAAGAACACAACAGTAGCAGTATAATTTATTTAAAATTATTTTTAATTGTCAAATAACATAAAATAATGGAATATTTGGTCTATAAAATAATGGAATATTTGGTCTCCCAGTTTCCTTCCACGCCGAGCAAGGTATTCAGCCCGGGGAGCGACAAATGCACCATTTTTTTTAGGATAACGGTGACAAGCGAGCACATATTCCACCTGATGGTAAGTGGTTGCTGTGGCCCATAGACAGTAAGGACTATGATGGAATGCCTCGTTTCCAGAAAGAAAGGGTTTCCGGTTCTTTACACTAATCACACGAAACATAGCAGCATTAAGCTGCTATTTTACGCTGGTATTCTGTGACAGCGTGATCCTTCCCCGGTCGAGCCGACCCATTCGTGCTGCAACTATATAATTAATACAGCTGCAGCATGGCTCTACTACGGTTAAAATATAATGGTTTTACCATGTGCTAGTGCGGAGCTATTCCATATATTATACTCAAGAACAGCTTCGGAACTTTGATACTGTGATTTAGGCTTTCGTTCGTTTCGCTTGTAGCGCGACTACAGCGCCGCCACAAACACATTACTGAAACTGCTGCCACTAGGCCTGGAAGGGTGATAAAAAGCAAATTACTGGTCCAAAAGATTTGAGAAAAAGACCGATAAAATAAGATAAGATAAGAAGAATAAGATTAAATGATAGATAAAATTAATATAATTATGATTGTTGTGAATTTTATAAGGACCTGTACTTAAAACAACAACTAAAGTTTTGTTTTAGAATGAATCTTAATAGATAGTGGCGTACTTTTGTTTATGTCTTTAGGAAAAACAATTCCACCTTATTTATATTATTTTGATATAAGTTTATCGATTTACAGATGTGGTAGCTCAGGAGCTAATCTTTCGCTGTAAACTTCACAGTACGCGAGAAACCCGGGTTCGATCCCTGCCAGCACCAATGAAATTGTTATTGCAATGTTAAGTGCTGATTTACCACATGTTCGACGGTAAAAGAAATCATCGTTAAAAACCTGCATGCCTGAGAATACAAAAAATACCACCAATATACATTAAGCTAGCGTGGTCAATATTTACTTGCTCTAAAACCCTCTCAGGAATGAGAAGCCTGTGCCCAGAAGTGAAATGACTGTTGGCTGTAACTTATCTAACCTATTAATCGTGCTGTGTTTCGTAGAGCATCAGACATACTTTTCACCGAAAATGAGGCATTCTATCTTAGTTCCCAGGAGTGAAAACTTATCTTCATTTTTACTCTCAATATAGGATAAATGTAAATGTCCTATCACCTGATAGTAAAGATGGACTGTGTTAGTATAGATAGTAAAACTGTAAACTACCATTAGGATATTTTTCGTCAAAGGAATCAGTGGCGTAACAAGAGCACACTTAATTACTTCTTGTTTGCAGAAATGCTTTGAGTCTGGAGTGGATATTGTTGCAGTCACTAATGCGTTGTCATTTTAAAGATCCAAACAATTTAAACCATCTTCAAGCATCTCAATTATGATAGAAAAGAAGCAGTGTTATTTGACCCTTGTCATATGTTTAAATTAGTTGGAAATTAAAGAAACTTTAGAATCGAAAGGAATTATCTTTAACGAGTTTGAAAAAGAAACAAAGTGCGCTTATTGGTAAATTTAAATTAAATAACCTTAAAAAAACCAATTTTGTCAATAAACTTTATTAACTTCAGAAATGAAATAATGAAGGTTAAATTGGCAACACGGTTGCTGAGTAAATACAAATCTAGGTTTCTGGGATTCATTTGTATCGAGTTTTTGAAACATCTTTGTGAATCCTTAGTTGTAAACCATCCCTTACTGAGATATATTTCAACCTATAGACTAAGTCAAGATCATATTGAAATTTTATTTAGTAATATTCGAAAGCATGGGGCTACAATAATAACATGAACGTGATACAAGTCTTGATACAATAATTTAGAATTACGTAGTGGTTTCAGTGGTAATTTTGTACCACTAGAAAGTGTCCCTATCTTCAAATGTTCTTCCATTATCCCAAATATCAATCGGTCTTCCGGCAAACGAGCATCAATTGATTATTTTAATTTTTTAATATTATTTGCGCAGTTACTCAACATTGAATCTTTACCGGATCATTTCAAACAGATAGTGGGTTATATTTTGGGCTGAATTGCAAGGAAAATGGTTTGCGTTTTGTATAAAAAATTTATTTACGTCCAAAAACTGAGGCTTCACAAATTAATCTCGATTAAAGACATGGGTTGTTTTTTAAGATCAGAATACATTTTGATGTGTTAAATAAAAGAAAATATACTATACTTTGCGAGAAATGAAGAAATTGTTATTGTAAAAGATCGTATTGTTACGAGCTTGGGGTTCGAGACAATTAAAAACTGCTGAGTGAATTACCAAAATTGACACTTTAAGTACAGAACACTAATTACAACTTAAGATCATTTAATAATAAAACACAATTGTTCTACTGATCAGAACTAAATAGTAAGGTGAGCGACATTCTATCTTCGCATCGCTTGCCCAGCTCTAAGGACCGCCCTAGTACAATTCTCGTTGAGATGAAAACCAAGGCAGCCCAAAAACAATGGATTGAAGCTGGTAAAGAGAAATGTCGCTCTGTGGGAACTATCCTATCAAACTCGCCGAAGGAAGTAGCTTAACAGAGAGTGTACATCAGGGAGGCCTTTACTAAGTATTTAAAAACTCTACTATATAACACCAAAGCGAAACTTAGTAAAATTGTCCAATATATTTGGTGTAAGGACGGTAAAGTACTGGTCAGGAAAGGTCCTAATACTAAAATTTACTATATTCGATCAGGTAATGATATTGAATTACTCCTTAAACAATTAGATAGCTTTAAAACCTCTTAACCATATTTTTTTCCTTTATTTTCCATTGTTCGAATAAACCTACCTACTTATTAACTACTCCTCAAACTTTATTATGATTATTTTCAACAATTACCCCCAAAACGTCATGCATTTCTTACTAGCCTACATTTTAATATAAGATCATTCATAAATAATTTTACGAAGCTTCAACAAGTTATTCATAGTTCCAAATACCCCATAGACTTGACTATTCTAACAGAAGTTGGCATAACAGATATGCTTCTTAACCTTTTTAATTTACCGGGTTACAATATGTACTACTAATTGCGATCTACGCAACGGGGAGGCGGTATCATTGCTTATATTAAAAACCATCTCAAGTTTACATTAACAACACATAAAAGTATCATGTTTGAAAACATAACGGGTATCATAAAACTGACCCCGAACGTAGATGTAGTTGGGTGTGCAATCTATAAACCCCCAAAAAGAAACAAAGATTTGTTTGTAAAGAAGCTTGGCAGGTACATCTCAAACTACGACGCTAAAACAAACCTTTTACTAATCGGCGACTCCAACATTGACCTAAAAACCATTTCATCTTACAGGGACACATATATACCAACACTCAGCGAGCGCGGGTTGATTCGCGGAATTTCAAATTATACTAGAATTGAAACAAGATAATTTAAAATTAAAAATTTTGTACAGCCGACTTCAATATAAGTTATTTAAGAATAACTTAAAAACTATTGGTCTGACCTTGATCAAATTCATATGGGACCACACGAGAAGTACCAGCTTTCAAATAAAAAAAGAATCATCGAAATCGGTTCACCCAGAAAAAAGTTATGAGGTAACACACATAAAAAAAAAAAAAAAAAAACATACAGTCGAATTGAGTACCGGCTCCTTTTTGGAAGTCGGCAGAAAAAATAAAGTCACTAAATCTTATATAGATCACATATTTGCGAGATTCCCCACATCAGATCCATTCTCAGCTGTACTAGACGTTGCATTAGCCGACCATCGGGGCATAGTGCTTACGTGCCTTGCTGACTCGCCACCTATACGACAAGCACAAGATGTTACACAAAAAACCACTTTTGGATCATACAATTTTTAGTAATGAGCTGAGCGTTATAGATTGCGAACTGACAAATAACATGAGTTCGTCAAATGATATACTTTCATATATAAAAAACATCTTTCCTAGCAGCTATAAAGTCTGCGACCATTAGTAAGTCTGTTAGGTATTCTAAAAATCCTACGAATCTGCCTATAGCCCCTTGGATCAATGGTAATGTCACCCGATTATGTGAAAAAAGGGATTACTTGTTTAAGCTTTGGAAAAATAGCTCTTTTGATCCTAACATTAGACTAGAATACAATGAAACTAGGAATAAACTCCATAAACTAATTTTTGTTGCTCTGTAATCAGCACAATATTGTGAAGAGCTCTGACTAGTATACAGTTATCTGTGGTGAAGAGTTATGTTTTGAATTGTGCACAAACTAACATGGAGTTGTGCGAACTTAGAGTATTTATAATAGCTTGCTTATTTATACTCTACTGTAAGTGTGTGAATATAATACAAATCAGACTAGGTTGTATGGTATATGGATCATTGCCTGCCTTAATTGGCGGATCGTAAAAACATTAAAAGTCACAGATTTGGTGGATTTGAAATTCGCGAGTTAAAATTTAGGTTAGAGGTGTTAAAAAGTAATACTATTATTGCCAATTGCACTTTTATTCATGTTGTTATTAAATGAATAAATATGGAAATATTACAGAACTTTTTGCTTTTCGTGTTAACACTTACTGCAAGTATATATGTTTGTAATAGTGCTAAAATAAACACTCCAAGAGTGCTGTTACCATGGTTTGAAAATTTATATGTGAATTTCACATTTGAAATTATCGAAGGTGGCTGTTATAAATGGTAAGTTAAATTTACATTTGCTTTAAATATATAGTTGAGCTTTAATTTACACAGTATTACTTTTATACAGGAGTTTGTCTCGCGATGACATCATTGATCTTGAAGCCCTTTACGATGATTCCTGGGGTCACTGTTCTCGCGCCGCTCGGGTTTCGGTTTCAAAAACGTGTTTACCACCTGGTTCAGTTATTATTCTAGCCGAAGAAGTGAACACCGGTGAGGTAAGAATAAATGAATAAATTTGGCGGGAAATTGCATTTTTTTATTTGTAAACAAATGTTATTATTTTTAATACTGTATTGCTTACAGTATCAGCTATTAACAGTTGTGTAAACTAATGGTACGACTTTCCATTGATGTCCGTCGAGTTGGGGGTTGATATTTTTTTTCAGAAAGGTTACATTATTATAGTAGTAGTAGTAGTAGTCTATAAGCACACACGCAAAGTTTCAACATGTGGAAACGCGTACTTTTTGAAAAAAACATTGAAAATCAATTATTTTTGCAATATTTATGCCAATCCCCATTGCCGTCCGTCAAGTTGGTGGTTGATATTTTTATTACAGAAAGGTTACATTATTATAAGCACACGCAAAGTTTCAACATTCAGAGACACATACTTTTTCAGAAAAAAAAAAAATTATTGAAAATCAACTATTTTTGCAATATTTATGTCAATTCCTACCGTAAAAGTGATGCCATTTTGTATTGATATTGTCAGTAGGGATGTCTATTCTTTCCGAAAAAGATTGATTTTTTTAAATAGATTCCAATTGAAACAAACAGAAACTTTTTTATTCAATATAGATTATAAATAATACTTATTGAAAGTCACTCTTTTGTTTGATTACCACTGGTTCGGAAAAAACCTCTGTCCTGTGAAGAACCAGCAAGAAACCCAGCGGGACTTTTTTTTTAAATAACAGCTTACAATCATGATGTTACGCAAATTAACAACACAACAAATTAGAAATAGCTTGGTAGTGATCACCTCATTTCCGGGGGTTATTATCATCCATAAATTCCTTAATATTATAATAACCCTTTTTATGCAAACTTAGTTTAATAAAGTTTTTGAACTTTGAGCAGGTCAAACTTTGTATATTTTCTGGAATTTTGTTGTAAAAGCGTATACATCGCCCCAAGAATGAATTACTGACTTGATGGAGTCGAGTAACTGGTACTACTAGCTTGTGTCTGTTCCTAGTATTTACAGAATGAATATCACTTATTTTTGTAAAACTACTTTTATTTTGGTGTATGTACATTACATTTTCATAAATGTATTGAGAGGCCAAAGTTAATATATTAATTTCCTTAAATTTTTGTCGCAGCGACTCTTTAGGCTTTAAATCATAAATTGCTCTTATGGCCCTCTTCTGTAAAACAAATATAATTTCAGTGTCAGCTGCATGTCCCCATAGCAAAATACCATACGACATTATGCTATGGAAATAGCTAAAGTAAACTAGTCTAGCTGTTTCAACACTAGTTAGAATTCTAATCTGTTTTACGGCATATGCTGCAGAACTAAGTCTGCTTGCTACTTTTGATATTAGGGGGCCCCATTGAAGCGTCGCGTCTAGTGTGATTCCAAGAAAAATGGTGGATCTACAAGACTTAGTTTTTTCCCATTTAAAATTACATTAGTATTTAATTGTTTGACATTTGGAGTCCTGAATCTCATATATTTCGTTTTAGTGCCATTTAAATGCAAATTATTAACATTGAACCAATTTACTAATTTAGATATAGCATTATTTACTTCGTCATATTTTAGTAATTGTCGATTTAATTTGAAAATTAAAGAAGTGTCATCTGCAAATAATACTATATATTGGTTATCCCCTACTATGTAAGGTAAGTCATTAATGTATACAAGAAACAGAAAGGGGCCGAGAATTGAGCCTCGAGGCACGCCCATTTGTACCATAGATCTGGAAGAGCTCATATTGTTAATGGCAACTTTTTGCGTTCTCTTACTTAAATATGAAATAATTAATTTAAGAGCATCACTTCTTACTCCGTAGTGTTGAAGTTTCCTGATTAATGTTTCATGGTGAACACAATCGAAGGCCTTGGATAGGTCACAAAATATACCCAAAGCATCCTGTGAATTCTCCCATGCATTAAAGATATATTTAATCAGCTCAACACCGGCGTCATTGTCGAGCGAACCCTTGTGAAACCAATTTGATATTTATGAAGTAAATTATTTATATTAAAAAAAATTAACATTTGATCAAGAACAATTTTTTCAAAAATCTTACTAAGTGTTGGTAGTACAGAAATAGGTCTAAAATTGGCGGGGTCTAATGTACTACCAGATTTAAATAAAGGTATTACTTTACTATGCTTCATTAAATCAGGAAACACACCAGATTCGATACTAGTATTAAAAATAATAGCTAAATGAGGTGCGATTGTATCTATTATAGACGCAATAACTTTAACGGAAATCCCCCACAGATCCGCAGTTTTCTTAACATCAATAGTTTTAAAATATTTTACAATATCTTTTGATGACACTTTATGAAATGTAAAATTCTTTGTACACGCATTTACATTTTGTTTAAGTAATGATTCGGCGACGGCAGGAGAAGAATTCAGTGACTTAGTGGTCAAGATCGGAATATCAGTAAAATATTTCTCAAAAACCATTGCTATGTCCTGATCTGATACAGTTAATTTGTTGTTAACACTTAACTAGTAATTTGAAATGCGAGAGTCGATCTTGAATTGTAAGCTAATGTATCGATTCTCAAAAAATCGATTTCTAAAATATCTATATTTTTTCATGTTTGCATTTATAATGTAAATATAAATCCATTTTATGAGAAAAAAATCCCCTTTATCATAAAAAAATAGGGGGACTGATTTATAGGCATTGGCATATTTTGAGACTGCTACGTCTTCGGCGCTGCCGGAAGACCAGCCTCTACGTCTTAGCGTAACAAATCGCAGGCATCCCTCCTCGCCTCTGCAGCTTCGGCTTGTTGGTCGCCCTCGGCGACCAGCCTCAGCCGCTCCGGCTCGTCCAATGCCTATAATTTGTTACAGCAGGCGGAGGCTGCTCACCCTACGCGCCTCCGGCTTCATAAAACCACTCTAGGGTCAGGACAGACTCGTACCAGGTGGAGTTGGGGTCAATTAATTTGGTTCTTTGACATAAGTTGAACCTAACCTATTTTATTTGTTATCTGCCTTAATAGGTACTGTTAAAATAAAACAGATTTCAATAAGAGATCATTTATTATGGTATCTTTCTTGTTTTTCATAAAATGGATTTATATTAACATTATAAATGCAAACATGAAAAAATATAGATATTTTAAAAATCGATTTTTTTTTTAATCGAAAGCTTACAATTCGAATCGTTTTAAAAATCGATATTTTACGGAAAGAATCGACATCCCTACTCACGATGACAATAACAATACAAAAAAATAGCGTCAGTTTAACGGTAGGTAATTTTTTGTCTGTGTGCTTATAATAATGTATCCTTTCTGTAAAAAAAATGTCAACCAACCAACTCGACGGACGTCAATAGAAAGCTAAGCCAAATTTGATGACTGACTACATCGATTATGTTATTGAAGTCGGATGTACAAAATTTTTAATTTTACCACTTGTTTGTTATAATTTTCAGATATTGCGTGGTGATGTTGATGTTGACATAATTAGTTCATTAAAAATAACAAGTACAACTTGGAAGCTCTTTTTAGAAGAGGCACCAGAAGCTTTTGAAGTTGTTGCATATGATGATCAAGGTAAGGCACAGATACTGAGTTTGTTTTAAAATCTATAAATGTTCAGTATCATTATTGTTTTAACTACTTAAATACAATGTTAAGTGGATTGTATTGTGCAGAAATGATCTAACCCAAAAACTGGCCAAAATAATGACCCCAGAGGCTCTTTTATCAGTTTATTTCCAAGTACAAAAGGTTTCTGAAAAATAAATAGTTATCCAATGTAAATACATAATATGATAATAGGTCTACAAAAATTTACCTTCAAAACCCCCAATGACTATGTTTATGTGGGAACATTTTTGCACAACAAGGTATGATTTCAACCTTTGAAGGCTAGCTCATTTATAATTTCCACCACAGTACTATGGAAATTTAATATTTTTATTATTGTAAATTTAATATTTATTATTGTAATAATTCAAATTAAAACTTATCAGCAAAAATATTGTCACAAAATAATATTTGCCTTTATAAATTTTGTGCCAAATATTGAAGAATTCTAGTAATTTTTTGTATACTGAATGCATATTTTTAAATAATGTTGATTTTAAGGTAACAAGTTTTCAACATTGGAAGGGATCAGCTTCAGTTGGACTGTGGAGAATATTGGTAATAGTTATGGCGAGGATCCTTTAGTTGCGTAAGTATAAATACTATAAATATATTTCCATTAGATATTTTATATTATCCCTGTTAGCGAGACTGGCACGCACCTATAACCAACTGTCCTGTAAGATATCTGGCCTCGATGTTATTTGAGATAGTTTACTTGTTTTTAAATATAAATGATTACATTTCTTTAAATACTAATTAATCCTGTATAATGTATAAATACAATTTTATAAATGTAATGCTAATCTGTGAAAATAATATACATTATTATGCATACATTTTTCATAGTAATTTAATGGTATAATGTTGATCAATTTTATTATTTTTTTATAATATAAATTTTTTTTTTAATTAAATTCTCCAATTATTTTTGTTTTTTTACAGTTAGTGTCATTGATAAAATTATTGCATGTTGTGATTACTTTCAAAAAGAAGTACAATTATCATGAATGTTCAAACATCATGTGCATATAATATGTAACACTATTGTCATTTCTGTTGGTGATCCTAATACAATAAAATATTCAATGTGAATAAGTCTAATTTCAAATCTATTGAAATTGAATTTTTTTTGTCCAGTTGTCTTTTTGGTTCATTTCATATTACAATCACTACAAAAACTTCCTGTCAAAGCCTTATCAGAACATTATAGTGCCACAAGTGCATATTCAAACATGAAGGTGCTCTATGTGTCTTTCTTCATCTTGTAAAAAGAACTTTTGCCTCAAGAGTAAAATAACAACCTGTATATGTCCCACTACTAGGCACTGGCCTCAGAGAGAAGAGGGATTTCAAGGCAAGATTTTCAGCGTGATGAAATTGCAGAATTTGAAGGTTTTCAGTGTGACCCCAGCACACATTGGCGGACATGTATTTATTTTCAAATTTCTCAGCCATGCAGGTTTCCTCACGATATTTTCCTTTAACACCATGTATGTGATTTAAGGAACCATGTTAGCACAGGAGCTAAGCCCTCGTCGTAAATTTCACAGTTTGTGAGCATTGTGACAGTGGTTCTGCTAACTGTTGAAAAAATTCCTGAATCACAAATATTTATATTAAATCTTTGCATCAAGTGATAGCAATATAGCAATAGAATATTTCGAATAGTAAAATAAATGCTCAACGTCATCAATAGTGGGTCTATTGATGATATTGAGCATTTATTACAGTCCACTGTTGGACATGGATCTTTCTACTTAAAAAGGTAGGGTCATAATTGCTGCACTTTGAAAATGCATGGACTCATGTTAGCTATACCAGTGTTCTCAAACCTTTAATGCCCATTGCTGTTTTTGCATATTTTATGCCTGCCTATTAGGAATAGTTATACAATTCGTTTTATTACCATCAATTAGAAGGTATGAGATTTTGGAATTTTTCATAGCCACCTCTCGAAACCGCAGGTGACATTCTGAATGTGGTAAATAAAGGATATAAAAAAGTTTTAAATAAGTCTCATTTTATATCTTGCTTCAAATGTATTTATTTCAACAGTTTTGTACGCTGGCGTGACACAGACTACGAAGCTCCTCCCGGCATTGCAGAACTGGAAGCCAAGGGTCTTAAGTCATATTCATTACTTTTGTATGGACAAGCAATGGGAGAATGTAAGGTTACAGTATGTCTAGAAGACATTTGCACAGATTTCGACTTAAAAGTTGTAGCTAGTGTTGTGCTAATGCCAGCTACAGCTGTTATAGCACATGGTGATACATTGAGATACAAGTAAGTGATACATTTATAAGACTCTGTTTTACCGTATTTAATGTAACTATCCCAATACTATACTATATTTATTTTGTAATATGTTTTAGGTCTATATTTGTATTGGTCTTAATTTGTGGTGGTTTAGCTGGATACCAGATACTAATAACTGGCAAGCCTGTAAAAATATTCCTTGTAACAGTTTTTCTTGAAAAAGAAAACTTTTTTATGTAAAGCACTATTTAAAAAATATTATTGGTTAAAAATCCTGTATCTAGCTTAGTATAACAGACAATAGTTCTTAGTATACTGCTGTATACTGAATAATAACTGGGTATTTATTAAACCTCACAAGAAATCTTATGAATTCAAGAAATCTCTAGAAAAGTATTATTCTACTTTCTAGTGCCAAGGAGCTAAGCATTCCTCATAAATTTCATAGTTTGCGTGCTTTTCAAGTTTGAATCTTGCTGGTGAATTTTAAGTATAGATTTACCATGTAATGCTAGTGTAAAAATATCCACTACCTCATATTGTGCAATGGGCGTCGTAAAACGTAACTGGGAGACACAAACCAGGAGATGCCGATACATACCTTCAACTACATATAAAAAAAAACCGCGGTGCTCCTGCCAATCGTAGCAACTAAGGCAAATATTAAGGCCGGCAACGCATCTGCAATTCCCCTGGTGTTGCGGTTGTTCATGGGCGGCGGTAGTCACTTACCATCAGGTGAGCCGCATGCTCGTTTGCCCCCTCTCCTATAAAAAAAAAAAAATATCCCCTCTTTTTTAGGTAGTCTATGGATATGTTCCACACTGGACTTTTGATAGGTTGTAATGGTAATGGTTAACATATTCATTGATGAGAAGCATCATAAGGGAATCTGGGAGAAATATTTTGAGTACATGCAAAAAATCCAGGAGGGGCGTGGTAGACCAACTACTTCATAACTCTCGTAGAAAAGAGAGGAAACCAAGAATAAATGACTTGGTTTTTTTATAGGATAAGGGTGACAAAGAAACATACAGTCCACCTGATGGTAAGTGGTTCCTGTGGCCCATAGACATCTACATCTATTTTGGATTACGTATCAAAATGCAGATGCGTTGTCACCCATGAGGACTAAGATGGAATGCCTTGTTTCCAGTAAACAGGGTCTCCCGTTTTATACAATCACCATATGAAACACGGCAGTGTTAGACTGCTATTTTACGCTGGTATTCTGTGAGAATGTGGTCCTTCCCCAGTCGAGCCGACCCATTCGTACTACAACTATACTACACTATGCTACTATTATAGCTGCAGCATGGCTCTACCACGTAGAAAACCACTGCTGACCACACCATTGCTGGGCACAATCTGTAATTGTACTAAATTATTATTTTTATATCTATTGAAAATAAAAATAAAGGGTTTTGAGAGTTCTAATTGATACCACATATTGATTCCATTTGTTACAGAGTTGTTAGAATGCGCGCAGGCCGTCTCACTGTACAAAATGTAGTAGACACATTATACAGTTTAAAAGTACCGGACAATAACATAGTCAAATTAGAAGATGCAATTAGCTTAGTTCGAGGCACGGAAATTGGTACAACCACTGTCTTTCTGATGTCAGGACTGACTGAAGTAGCTACAGCTTTATTAACAGTGTCTGAACCTGATAGCATTCGAGTTACTTTAAGACCAGGGAATTTGGTAATCTATGGTGAAGAATTTGTGATACATTGCGTAGTGTATGATGCTGAGGGACGTGCTTTAACTGCTGGTGAAGAAACGCTCATTCGTTTGTCAGTTGAAGGAGAAGCTAATATTGATTTAATAAGGTCAACTGAAAACGGTACGATAACTGATGCAATGGCGCAGAATTCAGGATCATTTACAATAACAGCAAGATTGTATTCAATTGCCGGCAAGACTTTAATGACCAAGGTATGTATATATCTTCATTTACAATGAAATAGTAATATTACATAAGTTACATACACTTATGTACAGCAGAGTTAGGTAATTCTGCAATTGTTATTGCTAAAAGAAAATTGAATACAGGATCAGAATAACCGACATAGCCCAACGGATTAGTAAGCTGAAATGGCAATGGGCTGGCCATATAGCTCAAAGAACCGACAACTGATGGGTGGAAAAAAGGTTCTTGAGTAGCAGCCTCTTACCAGTAGGCGAAGCGTAGGGCGACCTCCCCACTAGATTTAACAGTGGTAGAGCCACGCGGCAGCTTTTGCTGTCGCACGGATGGGCCGGCTCGAACCGGAGTAGTACCACGACCTCACAGAAAACCAGCGTGAAGTAGAAGTTTACCTCTGCGTTTCGCTTGGTGAGTGCAGGTGGCCGGAGGCCCTTTTTACTGGAAATGAGGCATTCCATCTTAGTCCTCACGGGTGACAACGCATCTACATTTTGATTTGTAACAGAGGATAGATGTAGATGTCTATGGGCCTCAGCAACCACTTACCATCAGGTGGACTGTGTGCTCGTTTGTCACCCTTATTCTATAAAAAAAAAAAAAAAAAAAAAAAAAGATGGATTGAGGACCTGGTAAAACATGCACAAACTCAATGGATGCAGGTGGCTCAGGACTGTGCTTTGTGGCATACCTTGGTGGAGGCCTCTGTTTAGCAGTGCACTTGTGGAGGGCTGCAATGATGATGATGATGATGAAAAGAAAACTGTAAATATGTATGTGAAGTTATGACATACATATTTACAGTTCAATGAAATTCACAGTTCATGGCTTCCAGACTGATATGTACACACAAAGTGTGTTACAAATTTTCAGTCTGGATACATTGCACTAATGTGGACCGCAAATTCTTTCATTTTAAGTTACGTTACATGTTATGTTGTGTAAGTCTGTCGCGCCTTAAGAAATTAAAAAAAAATATTTCAAAGACATAAAAACTGCCAAACCCACTGGGGCGGCCTGGCAGAGATTTCCTTGCCCTAAGTACACCCTCTCAGTAATGAGAGGAGGCCTGTACACTACTATGGGATGTATATAAAAGCTGAAATAACGACTTATACCATAGCACTCTAGTGCGTGTACTGTTAGGGGTAAAGAGTGATGCCCACTGACATTCTTGGTTTGTATAGAAAGTGTTGAGCATGCCAATCATGCATTCAAACGTAAACAATAATGGATACATTGCTGCTTTGCGTCGAAAATAGGTGGAATCTAACATACTCCTAGGCAGAAAAAGAAGCCGAGCACCTATACTTTGACATTAAAAAAAAATTAAACCTAATAAAACATTAGTGTCCCAATGCCAACAAAACTAATGGTTTCCAAGATCGATCTTGGGCTGCTAAACTGCCACAGCTCAAACATTTTTTTGTTTAAGATTGAAGGACAAGCTTCAGCAGTAGCAGTAGAACCACTGGAAGTTGTGCCACCTGAACTCTTTGTTGCATGGACTGACAGCATTCAGTAAGTAGTTATAATGTTATTTAAAAAAAGGATTGCTATTAAAAATTAAACATTGAATATATGTACCTATGAAATTGCCGTATTTTATGTAATAAATTAACGTATTTTTTTTTCTATATTTTTATTTCTATTAATCAAAGTAATCATCCATGTAATCAATGCATCATTGCATTGCACATCAACGCAGTTAGACAGTTTATTGATGCCCTTCTTGAAGAAAGCTGGACGGGAGGCAACAAATTCTTCAAAGGCTTTTCATATGCCTCTCGGGTATTGAATTTTTTTTCCGCCAAAAAGTTATCCAATTTCTGGAAAAAGAAGTCTGTAGGCGCAAGGTGTGGTGAGTACGGTGGATGACGGAGACCTTCCAACCCCAGCTCTAGTAACTTAGAGAATGTATGAGGCCGCGCGTTGTCGTGAAGGAACTGTGGGGACGAGCGATTGACCAAAGCTGGTTGGAGACGTGCGAGCTTCTCCATCATTGTGTTCAGTTCTTCACAGTACACATCTGCAGTAATGCTCATCCCGTTTGTTAAGAAGCTGTGATGAATCACACCGGCGCTAGACCACCAAACAGTGACCATCACTTGTGTAGGGTCTAAATTTCCATAACGGAAGCTGGCAAACCAATAACAGGTGGTGCGTTCGTTTATAGTATTCGCTCCGTAAACGTCGTTGATGTTGCGTGCCGCTTGTGCCGCGTTGCTGCTCCGACGGTACTCATATTCCATAATTACTCAAATTTTAACGTATCTATGATTACGAAAAATATTCAAATGCGATGAACATATAACGCTAATCAATAAACAAATGACTAATTTTGAAAAAGAAATCCATGTTCTTAAAATAAAATAAATTTGAAATTAGAATTCTTAGCTAAACAAAAATTATTTTGATTTGAAATGGCCTGTACTGCAGAATTGCAATTTCATAGGTAAATACCTATTATTAAAAAAAAAAAAGATATAAGTAAAAATTTAACATGCTGTTATGCATCTGTGTTGTGGCACCACTAAATGACTCTAACGGAAGGCAAGCATTAGTTTCTTATTATAACATCATGCTGAATCGGGACCAATTTGTAACAACTAGCATTAATTTGTCAAAATATTTTACATAATATGTCATATTGTATAGAATGCTATTTACGAATAAATGTATTTTCTTCCATTCATTCAAAACTAATAATGTAAAACTACCACCCACCCAGTATAGTATAGTACTTGCAGCGCGTGCGAGGACTAAGGAGAATGTAAAATTTAAATCATTCTTCCAATTCTGAAAGTTTTCATAACTTATCTATTATGTTATATGTATGTATTTCTTTGCGTTCTTTAAAATAAACCCGATCGTGTTAACAACGAACCTGGCGTCTATGACGTCATATCGACGCTCTACTACGGCGTACGGTTATACGTACTTACGCGACAGGACGAACGTGGGGATGTGAGCGGGTAAGTGGGAAGGGCAGCGCATTTCAACTGGGTGCGGAGGTGCGAAGTTAACTCGATCGGCTTGTAGTATTCACTGTACTGGAGACAGTAAAACTTAAAAATAATTACAATTTACTTATGTTCACTTAGGTACCTTCGAAATATCCTGCTTTACATTAAACAAGGCGTGTCCAGCATATGTTGCAATGCCTTAGTTTTGTCTGTAACCTTTTCGGGGTTTTTGTTTTCTTTTTCGGGCACAACAACCTACCAAGGTTTTATTGTAATTGGATGTCTGGTTTTGGAACACATAGAAGACGAACAAATCAACAAATATTCATAATTTTTGTCAGAATTTCGCGGGCGCGTTAACAACATAATAAAGTTTCATCGTAATGGGATACATTTTGTAATATATAGTAATGCACAGAAGACAAACAAACGAATATTCATTTTCATCCAGTACTTTGATTTTCATTTGTTTATTGCAGAGAAGTACCGTTGAAACATAGCGGCGGAGGCGATGAACCAGTAGTGTGGTCTGAGAGTGAGACGGAGCTGCAGCCGCAGAGCTCCTTCTCGCTTGCACCCACGGGTGTCGTTACTGTACGCGGCGTGGGACAATTGGACGTCAAAGTTCAGCTGAAGAAGTATTCGCATGTACGAGCACATGGAAGGTAAATTTTCAGATAAAATAGAAGTGTATTTCTGTAATATCGATACATCTGCCTTTTATTGAGCTGAGGGGGTTGTTGGCATACATTTATGACGCAAATAACCATTTTAAAATGATTGTTTGTCTGTCTGCCCGGGCTATTCTTGGGAATGACTGCACCAATCGTAATGAACCTTCATGAACAGATAGAGAACAATGCTAGGAGTGATTTTAGTTATATATTATCCCATTAGTTACTTCTTTAAGAAATTGGTAATATAAATGATATTCAATTATATTTTTTAAATTATATACCGCATTATTAGATTCTACCTAAGCAAAGCCGAGGCAGGTCTGAGGCAGGATTCGCTTTCATCTGACACAATAATAAAGTATTTATATCATGAATTAAGATATTGCTGTTATATTTTACAAGTCTAAAAATATGTAAATTATTTCACTTATAATTTTGATGGGTTTTTTTTTCAGAATATTTTCAGCTCCACCAGAACTAGTACAGGTGTCGAGTTCTGGTCACGCGCGTATCGGCCGACCTCATCATTTGCACATTGCGCTCACGGCTACTCATCCTGTCACTGGAGAACTCTATAATTTCGACTTGTAAGTAAAGTTTAGTAAAGTTTTTACGTGGTAGAGCCATGCTGCAGCTATATTTATAGTATAGTTGTAGCACGAATGGGTCTGTTCAACCGGGGAAGGACCACGCTCTCACAGAATACCAGCGTAAAATAGTAGCTTAATGCTGCTGTGTTTCGTATGGTGAGTGTAGAGAATCGGAGACCCTTTTTACTTTAAAAGAGGCATTCCATCTTAGTCCTCAAGACTGACAACGCATCTGCATTGTGATTCGCAAACAAGAATAGATGTAGATATATATGGGCCTGAGGAACCACTACCATCAGGTGGACTGTGTGCTCGTTTGTCATCCTATTTCTATTAAAAAAAAGTGAATATTATATATCTCAGGTTATAATCCTGGCCTTAAAGCCTTAAATATTTACCTTGAATGTTAAGAAACATTATGGCTTAAATGCTGATTAACTTCAAATATTACTAATTTTTGACCATGTGTAATACATAGGTAATCAGTTCCCTGCTGGCCATTGGAATTACTTTTAGTGGGTTGAACTTGCTACAATCGTTACTGTGGTGACATGACCGAATGACTATATGTATTGCGTTCGTCTTACGAATTTGACGCGACATGAACTATAACATGTGAGATACACATACAGTGGCTGATGGTACATATCACTATATAGTACCCTCAGCCTGCGTTATACCGTGTTAGTGTAGATCGTCGAAAGCTTCGCAGTCTTAAGTATCTGAGATTAGGCTGCAAACAAAGTTATTTTAGTGGTAGTGATGAAGTGCTGAAAGTAGCATGCAATGCTGTTGACATGCATAATCAATTCAAGTTCATATGTACTAATATTGATAATATTTATTCAGGTGTAATTGCGCATCATTTTCCGTATCGCTGCTTGAAGGTCCTGAACCACTAAATGTGACGGCTGCTACTTGGGTCCAGCCTGTAGGTCAGTATGTTCTTTTTATTTGTATAAAAAAAATATCTATAAAAATATTAAAATTCTATAATAATATTCTAAAAAAATTGTTCTATAATACAAGTCTTGTTCATCATCATCATCATTACAGCCCTTCACAAGTCCACTGCTGAACATAGGCCTCCTCCAAGGAATGCCACAAAGCACGGTCCTGAGCCACCTGCATCCATCGACTTCCTGCATATCTTACCAGGTCGTCACTCCATCTAGTGAGGGGACGCCCAACACTTCGCCTGCCGGTACGAGGCTGCCACTCGAGAACCTTTCTTCCCCATCGGTTGTCGGTTCTTCGAGCTATATGGCCGGCCCATTGCCACTTCAGCTTACTAATCCGTTGGGCTATGTCGGTCACTCTGGTTCTACTGCGGATATCCTCATTTCTGAGTTTATCACGCAGAGAAACTCCGAGCATAGCCCTCTCCATAGCTCGCTGAAGGACCTTGAGCTTCCTCATCCGGCCAGCAGTGAAGGACCACGTCTGTTCCGTTTGTCATCACTGGCAACACACACTGGTTGTACAATCTCGTTTTCAAGTTTTGAGGTATACCTGACGAGAAGATGTGCCGTAATTTCCCGAACGCTGCCTAACCGAGTTGAATCCGTCGATTGACCTCTCGGTCGAAGTTGGACTTACCTAATCGGACTATTTGTCCCAGGTGAACATACTCGTCAACAACTTTGAGCTTAGTGCTCCCAACAACTACCGGCATAGGTGTGACATGGACATTAAACATGATCTTTATTTTGTCCATGTTAATCTTAAGACCTATCCGTTGGGAAACACTATTGAGGTCATTGAGCATAGTGCTTAGGTCCTCCAGCGATTCTGCCATAAGGACTATATCGTCGGCAAATCGAAGGTGAGTGATGTACTCGCCATTGATGTTGATACCGTATCCTTTCCAGTCCAGAAGCTTGAAAACGTCTTCCAATGCAGCGGTGAAGAGTTTCGGGGATATGATGTCACCCTGTCTTACACTTCTCTGCAATATCCAATTGCTCTAGTTTCGTACTCTGGTTCTGTACTCGGATAGGGCAATTTGGAATAGGGCAACGGAACCCAAGGGGCCAGCAGCTGGCCGACTTCATGGAGAAAGAGGGACTCTTTATGATGAACTCTTTCTTCCAGAAGCGGCCCCACAGGAAGTGGACCTAGTCGAGCCCCAACGGTTCGACAAAACATGAGATTGACTTCATTATGACGACCAGACGACAACTGTTCAGTGATGACTCAGTGATCGCGAGGGTGAAAACCGGCAGCGATCACCGAATGGCTAGAGGCACACTGAACCTAAACGTTAAGTTAGAGAGGTCACGTCTAATGAAATCAACGCTCCGTCCCCCTCGTGCTCTGATCCAAAGTCCCGAAACCTTTCAGCTCGAGTTACAAAACCGTTTTCAGTGCCTAGAAGACTGCAATGAAGTGGACGATATGAATGACAAGCTCGTGGAAACTGTCCATGCGGTCGGAGCTAACTTCTGCAAGACCCGCCACAGAAGAACACAAAAACTCTCTGATCACACTCTTAATTATTTATTTTTAATTAATTAATCTCATGGCTGTTAGACGGGAGATGAAGCTACATTCTTCAACAGATTTGACAGCATACAGGCAACTGAACGGACAGATCTTCAAATGCATGCGGCGGGACTTACGCAACTTCAATACAGCTCGTATTGAAGAAGTGATCAAGCGGAACCAAGGCTCCAAAGTCTGCCAGAGATCTGTCTGCCAGAAAGAGCCAACTGTCAAAGCTGAAGACAGAATGTGGCAGCATCGTCTCCGGGGCACCTGAGATTTTGAGTGAGATTGAGAGGTTCTATGGGCAGCTGTTCACGTCATCGTGGAGCCACACGCGAGTGTGAGTAACGATCCAAGAGCGAGTCTGATTCGACATTATTCCGATGATATCCCGGACCTCAGTCTGAGCGAGATTAGAATGGCTCTCCAGCACCTTAAAAACGGCAAGGCCCCCGGCGAGGATGGAATTACAGCGGAGCTTCTGAAAGCGGGTGGAAAACCGGTACTTGAGGTCCTTCAGAAGCTCTTTAATTCCGTCCTCCATGGTGGCATTACACCGGAGGCGTGCAGCAGAAGTGCGGTGGTCTTGTTCTTCAAGAAAGGCGACAACGCTCTCTTGAAGAACTACAGACCGATTTTCCTTCTGAGCCGCGGTCTACGTGCTGTTTTCGAGAATCATTACGAATCGTCTCGCGCGCAGACTTGACGACTTCCAGCCTTCCGAACAAGCCGGTTTCCGAAAAGGCTTAGGCACCATAGACCACATACATGCCCTTCGGCAAATTGTACAAAAGTCAGAGAAGTACAATTTGCCACTATGTCTGGCGTATGTGGACTATGAGAAAGCCTTTGATGGCGTCGAAATTTGGGCGGTGCTGCAGTCCCTTCAGCGGTGCAATGTGGACTGTCGGTATATCGAAGTGCTGAAGTGCTTATACAGTAGGGCTACGATGGCTATCAGAGTACAAGGCTTGTTCAGAAAGGCTTATATCAATGTTTTGAACTGTTTAACTCTTAGTTAAAATATAGATTTCTTATGTAAAAATATAGTAGAACCCTGTGTTCACCTGTGCACGTGTCAAGAGTGTTAATGATGGTTATAATTTTTCAAATCAATTTTTTATATTTTAAAGGAATATTGTTGCTGCTTTGAACTTTATTAACTACATCATCCTTTATTAAAATACAGTATATTTCGCAAATTTTCGACTTAAACCCTTTTACACTAGGACCTCAGATTTAGAAATATAATGATTTTTTGTCAAAGTGAAAAATTCTTCCCGCAACGAAACAATACGATTTCTCTCGAATTGACGTTTTAGACGAGAGCTGAGTGTGATAGAAACAGCTCTGAATAAAAATAAAAATACTATGATTAAAATATAAGATAAAATGAATTTTCAAAAAGTAATAAAACAATTTTGAAAAATAGACATTGGCCGATTCTCAGACCTACCCGATATGCACACAAAATTTCATACAAATCTATTCAGCCGTTTCGGAGGAGTTTGGTAACAAACACTGCGACACGAGAATTTTATATATTAGATGCTATATTATATAATAGGCTTGGGGCAACCCTAGTTGAAAGTATTTATTATTATATATTATGTCGTGAGGTATTTTAACGAAACTAACGAATTTCACTCGATGTACAAGCAAGTGCGCACGAGGTCAGGTGTGAAGTGGAAGGAAATGTTTTTTTTTTAATAAGATTAGGGTGACAAACGAGCACACAGTCCACCTGATGGTAAGTGGTTGCTGCGACCCATAGACATCTACATCTATTCTCGTTTGCGAATCAAAATGCAGATGCGTTGTCACCCGTGAGGATTAAGATGGAATGCCTCATTTCCAGTAAAAAGGGCGTCCGGCCACCTGCACTGACCAAGCGAAACGTAGAGGTAAACCTGTACTTCACGCTGGTATTCTGTGAGGTCGTGGTACCACCCCGGATCGAGCCGGCCCATCCGTGCGACAGCAAAAGCTGCCGCGTGGCTCTACCACTGTTTTATTAGGCATGCGTAATAAATATAAGCGACAGTAGTTTAATGGCAGGGTTCGGACCGCGAACTCAAAAAAAATATATTTGTGCGTTTGAATCCACCATTCGACTACTGTTGTGAACTACTAACAAAAGCATTTTAAGTTTACCAAGAGTGGATTAGTATCGAGTAGTGGTGGTGTAAGAATACATACCTACTATCTCATAACATCCCGTGGCGACACCCACTAAGAGGCGACAGAGGGAAATAAATTAGGAGGGCAGTAGCGTTTTCCTAATAATGACTAAAAGTAAAAAATCTGCGGTTGCCTACCCATTTGTTTTTTTTTTTATAGAATAGGGTGCAAACGAGCATGCGGCTCACCTGATGGTAAGTCACTACCGTCGCCCATGAACAACCGCAACACCAGGGGAATTGCAGTGCGTTGCCGGCCTTTTAGAAAGGTGTAAGTTTCTTTCCTTGAAGGTGCCTAAGTCGTATCGGTCCGGAAAAATCGCCGGTGGTAAATAATTCCACAAAGAAGTTGTACGAGGAAGAAAACTCCTAGTAAAACGTACAGTCGTGGACCGTCAAGTATCCATATGGTGAGGATGGTATCGTGAATTATTTGCCAAGCGTGGCAAATATTTCTCTTATGGGTTAATTTATGGGGGAGGCTTATAATAAGTAATAGGCTTTGATAGGTTGTAATGGTTACATAACACGCGTTAGAAGTGAAACCTTCAGAAGAACACTATACTATATTCTATCTCATTTTCTCGCAGGCTAAATCCTATAGATGTGTATATATTAGTTTATTTTTAGTGTCGCTTCTTCGTTTCATTGATTTTAAAATCACAACGATTCTAAAGCATGTTGGTCGAAAGCGAGTACCAACGAATAGATAGCCCATTTGTCTAACTTCGCTATTGCTCGTCGTTGTTCGCCTACCTGGCCGAGAGCAGGCGAGTGCCAACGTGTATGCCACCACTTGGTATCGTTCGCCACGACTCTTCTCAATTCGGGATAGTGTCGGTTTTTCGCTTCGTCTGCACTCGGCAAGTCGCGTTCACATGTCAGTTCACTCTTTCAAACTTGGCGAACATGTAGATTGTAGCACTCGCCTTGAGTTAATTTGTTTGCGCTCGTGTTGGGCGTCGCTTGACCAACATGTATTGTCGGCTTCAAGAAGTTTTGAGTTGTAAAAAGTAATGTTGTTGCGGCGGCAGAGGGCGCGTGCTGCGTGGTGCAGTGCGTGTGGGCGGCGCGCGGCGTGGCGCTGGTGCGCGCGGGGCGCGGCCGCGCGACCGCGACGGCGCGCGTGCTCGTGCGCGCTGCGCCGCGCTTGCGCTGGCCGCCGCACGCCGCCGCGCTGCTCTCCTCACAAGCGCCGGTACCTATTTCTTTTTATCAGGCTTTAGGGCTCTGGGTTCTAGCCCGTCTGAACCTGAAGTTACAATGTATACTTATCCTTCATAGTACACTGCTTCACAATATGTTGATGCGTCACATTGTGCAGCCCTTGGGAGATTTTGACGGCAACTTGAGCTAGCAGACAGCTGACAGTTGACAGTTGGCGATGATATCTCAAGGCGCCTAAGAAGTGAAGCTTGAGAATCACATCACCATCAGATCACTTGTTTCACCGTTTCCACTAATAGTTCACATGCGCAGACACTTAATACACAAAATCGCACTACTTTTACGTATCAAAATCCATTTCAGCCCGTTATCTAAACAATAATACAAGAGCAGCAATCCTCCACCGTTCAAGTTCCCGCCAAAAACACCGGTACCTAACACGCTGCATATGCGTCGCCCTTACTTATACTCCTTCATAATCACTTACTCAAATTAATTGCCTTTACTTATAATCATTCATTATCGCTTGCTCATATTAAATATTAATTATCTCTATACCTGTCTCATTCTATTATATATCTAATAATATATAATTCCCATTTAAGAAGAAACTTTAAAGACCAGTATATATCCTAAACAAATTATTACAGATTTTACAATGTAAATGGCACATTTCATTCTATTTGACGGCTCCATGGCTCAGTGGCTTAACAATGAGTTGCTGCGCTGAGGGCCGCGGGTTCAAATCCCACACGGAACAAGTATTTGTATGGCCTACTAATAATTATTCCGAGTCTGGATGTTTGTCCTTGTGCAATTTGTGTTTGTAAACTGCCTCCACAGAAGAAAATCCTAGTGTGGGGGTAACGTTTTTTTTAAAGAAAGAGAGAGAGAGAGAGAGTATTGTTACATTGTGAAAAGAGAGATAGCAAGGTTGAAATTAAGTTTTACTTTACCTATGCATTTCTCGACTTCGTCTGCTCGTCTTAATGAGGGCATCTTCCGCTCATCAGATGTCGCTAGTTAACACTGACGTGAAGTTTTTTGTTACACAATGTCATTTAATTTAGAAGCGAGTTTTAAATGAAAGCTTATCAGTTTTTTCTATAGTATAGAATATTACTACACAAAACAATTCCTTTTATGAATATGTGATTTGATTTATTTTTAATCTACTTTATATAAAATATAACTTAAGTACAAATAAAAACATTAAACAAAATTTTTCCAACAAATTAACTTCTCCGCTATGAAATCTATCAAGTTTTACACCTTATTTTTAAGTGGCGCCGCCCTAGTGGTAGAAAAAGTCGTGAATACCCTCATTAACACCCATTTTTATAAGTAAGGCCATACATGTATAATAACTACCGGTCGTCCAGCACTCGAAATTCGACCAAATTCAATAAATTTTATTTTAGTTTGTACATTAAACAAACTGTATTTCATTTTCAACTGCACATATAAACACAGATATCTCATATACAATATATAAAATAAAGGTTTTTTTGCCTTGAAATCAATTCAGTAGTAATTATTTGTTGGCAACATTTAAAAATTCTTTGGCAACAATCTCTACCCTATGCGAATGTTTGACCACAGACTATTATTTGTTGTATATTGGCAATATGAACATAAAAAAACAACAAACATAGTGTGTTTTATTGGTAGTATGAACGAAACAATAAATGTGTATGCAAACTGAATCACAACACTACTGTAATGTGCCCCGATATATTATTGAAACAACGTAAAAACTAATTTGGTTAAATTGTTTCTTTTGTTTGTTTGAAAAATTCGAATTGAATTTAGTAATTAAAAATTATACATGTTGTAATTAAATACTTACAAATAATAACAAATAATTTCATAATCCTTTGGCTTTACGTAAAGGGTTGTCCAAAATTATTGCGTTATGAAAAATATGAAACATCAAAAGTTATTTCTTAGATTTGGCACTCTATAATACCTATAACAACTTACTTATCTTCACGCACAATCCCTGACGGGGTAGCCAGAGAGAACAGATCGCCAAGTGTCACGATCCTTACATATCTCTTTCGCTTCTTTCAGATTCATTATCTTCTTCATACATGCACGTCTAGGTATCCGAGTACTCTTGACCCTACCCTCTTCGAGCAATTTGCTCACATGGTCTTCGAAAGTTAGTCTCGGTCTACCTCGACACCTTTTAATATTAACTTTCGCGCTATATATTTTCTTCACCATTCGGTCTTCACTCATTCGCTCAACGTGCCCAAACCACCGAAGCACGCCCTTATCAATTTTTGTGATAAGGTCATCTTTCAAACCTGCCATATTGCGAATCTCTTCGTTTCGCTTTCGGTCGGCCATAGTAACGCCGCACATTTTACGAAGAGATCGCATCTCCACTGCATTCAACTTACTTTTATGCTTCTTCTGGCATACCCAGGTTTCGCTGCCATATAACAAAGTCGGTACCAACACTGCGTTATGTATTGCAAGGCGTGCACTCTTCGCTACGCCTTGCCTTTTGACTAACGCAGTCAGGGCACCATTGACTTTGTTCCCGGCAGCGACACGCCTGTCCACATCTAAATCACATCTTCCATCCCGGCTAAAAGCACTCCCCAAGTATACAATTTCATTTACCTGTTCTAGACATTCCTGATTTACCCATATTTCACACTTCGTTCTCTCTTCGTCCCTTTCAAATACCAGAACCTTAGTTTTATTAGCATTCAAACGGAGACCTTTAATTTCACATTCCTCTTTCATACACGTGACTAATGCCTGCAGTTCTGCCTCTGATGGTGCAATAAGCACTGCATCATCAGCATACAGCAGACAATTTACTTTTATGTCACCCAATTTCACACCCAAACAGCTATCTTTCAGCTTTTGTAAACAGCTGTCGAGATACAGTATGAACAGCCAGGAACAGGAACCCTGTTTTACGCCCGTTTGGACGCTAAACATGGGTGACAGGTCATGCCCTACCCGCACACAGGCTTTACAGTCACATTAAAGAGACTGCACAGCCCTTAGCAATCGGCCATCCACACCATACCCCGGCAACAGTTCCCACATTTTCTTCCTTACAACCTTATCAAATGCTTTCTCAAGATCCACAAAAGCACAGAAAATCTTCTGGTTAACAGCCAGAAGCTTTTCCGTGATCATACGGAGAGAAAACATTTGATCCGTGCATCCTCTTCCAGGTCTAAATAATAATAATATAATAATAAAATAATAATATAACAACTAAAACTACAATTGAAAATTTATGTCCTTTTGAAGGTGTTAGCTGAAGGAGAGGCCTTGGTTCCATCGTCAAGTGATCCCCGTGTTGCCGAGCTAAGCTATAGAGACGGACCGCCGCCACACAAATATCCAGAACTCCAACTCTTTACATTCAAGTGCCGCAGGGTAAGTAATATATAATCTTATCACCACTATATTGGCTAGTAGTCAGAATATCTGACTATTACGCTGAAGCTGCTTGTGCCAATAATATGTGCAAAAATACAATAGTTTCTGAAGTAGGGGCTTAAATTCTTTGATACAATTTTGACTTAGCACCGCCTTTGGAAGATATTATGTGGAAATTATTTTATTCTTTTTTGTTTTTAAAAAAAGTAAAACTAACTACTTTTTTTAAGTTTAATGATCCTAATAGAAATTCTGTAATAATTAGAGTACATTATGTCGCAGTTTCTTATAATCAAATAGACATTTTATTTGTATATTTATAAATAGTAAAAATTTCATTATCATCATCATTACAGCCCTTCACAAGTCCACTGCTGAACATAGGCCTCCCCCAAGCATCCACCTGCATCCATCGACTTCCTGCATATCTTACCATGTCTTCACTTCATCTAGTGGGGGGACGCCCTACACTTCGTCTGCCGGTGCGAGGCCGCCACTCGAGAACCTTTTTGCCTCATCGGCTGTTGGTTCTTCGAGCTATATGGCCGGCCCATTGCCACTTCAGCTTACTAATCCGTTGGGCTATGTCGGTCACTCTGGTTCTACTGCGGATATCCTCATTTCTAAGTTTATCACGCAGAGAAACTCCGAGCATAGCCCTCTCCATAGCTCGCTGAGCGACCTTGAGCTTCCTCATCCGGCCAGCAGTGAAGGACCACGTCTCAGTACCATAGGTCATTACTGGCAACATGCACTGCTTGTACAGTCTTGTTTTCACGTTTTGAGGTATACCTGACGAGAAGATGAAATAAAAATCTAATTAACCTGAAACATAAACTTACAGTTTTGAGACAACAAAAGAGTAAGTAACAGTTAAATTTTTGCCAATTAAAATAGTTTTTCAACTTATTTTGCAGAAAGGCGACGCACGTCTTGAAATAGCCTCGTCGTCTACCGAAGAGCGTGAAACCGTGGACTTTGAAGTGGCTTGCGCTCCACATGTTTCTAGGATACGGTTAGAGGCACCTCCTAGTCCCGGCAACTGTTCGGGTGGACCTAAGTAAGTTTTAAGTTTCACATTTACTATAGGATAATTCAATAGTGATCCTTAAATAATTCTACTTCAATTTATACTTTTCTAACACTTATCTGCCATATTATCAAACAATGATTGCTGACAGTGACTGACTAAGCCCACTTTATCATGTGATATTTTTCAGTTATTTAACCGAGTATGCTAGTATTGATCAATTTTTTTTTTTACTACTAGGTTACTAAAAGGCTGGTCCCCTAGTGGGTTTTGTTTAATTGAATACTATACTTAATTTTTTTTTACAAATAAGGCTTTCAAACGTTATTACCTGCGATTTACATTTAGTGTACTTATACGTTAACGCTAAAGTGCGTGAATGAGTAATAGTGCAGAGTAACTAGTTAATCTACAGATTAACTAGTTACTTTTTCGCATTCCTTTAAAATGCGAAAAAAATATTATTCAGTTATTACTTGAACAAATTAATCTGCAGACTTCCTAGGTAATCTGCGGAATAACAATTGGTTAAGGTGCGGCTGGGGTGGGCCGATAATCTGCAGATATCTAGTTAATGCACACATTAACGCATTCTCACGGTAACATATACACGATTGAGCCATGGTGAGTGTATTACACCATGTTCCCACACAATACCAGTGCAAAACAGCAGCGTGATGCTGCTGTACTTTATGAGTGATGAGAACTGTAGACCTTCTTTGCAGATCTTCTTAGTCCTTAGGTATGACGATGCATCTGCATTTTGCTTCTTACTTGAGGATAGATGTAGGTGTCTCCACAGCATCTTTTTACGAACAGGTGGACAGTGTGCTGCTTTGACACCCTTTTATGCAACATATTAACTATTAAGTAGTAGCAAAGAAGTAAACCAAGGGTATACCAGGCCTGTCTAACTCCGCGCGTTAGACATGAAATATACCTATGCTGCGCGGCCGCCTACAAGAGGCTAAAACGTCTCCCACACAGAAGCGGCTTGCGGTGGCGGCCAGTTGTATTCGCTTGCAATTTATGTGAGTCTACAAACACGTGTGGTCGTGTCGCGGCCTTCAAGCGGTTGGCCGCGGCCGCATGCCCGCCCCCTCCGCCTGTTAGCGTACATGCGGCCTCTATCGGTGGCTGGTGGCCGCAACGCGGTCAGTTGAAAATTTTTACAACAGGTCGCGTGTACCGCGTGCAAAGTGGCGCTAAATACAGAGATTTTAATAGAAACAGTGCAAAATTATCCAGTACTTTATGATACTTCACATCTTGGTTACAAAAGCATTAAGATTAAAAACAAGATATGGGATAACATTACTGAATATAATAAGAATAAAAAGACATCATAACGGTTAGCCATTTTGACTGACGTCCGATCGTAGCACAAACACCACAGCGAATGGAGCTTCAGGCCGCCACTGCGACCGCAGTGGTGTGTTGTTGCAGCGGCTGGAGCCGCGACAACAATCGCTCGCGGCTCGCGGTTAGCCGCCACCGCAAGCCGCTTGTGTGTAGGTGACGCTTAATTCTCGCTCGTGCCGACAACTCCGTACTCACATTCGGTATTACTCGATAGTTTTACTCTAAAACGAGTAAAAATCAACACGTGGACCGTAAAACTCACAATTCGAAGGCTCGCATCGAGTCGGCTCAATGGAGTTAAATAAATGTAATTTCCTTCGCATCTACTCGAAGCGAGCCGTCGATCCTTGCTCGGGCGTATGTACGTGTCCGAACGAGCCGAGCGTCAGTCCGCCAATATTGAGCGTAACTAACACGTGTTTATTCAGAAATGGATTTAAGAGTTTATTCCAAAGGGATTATCGAAGAATTTATGAACATACATAGACATTGCAATTGTTTATGTAACGTCAAGTCAAAATATTACTCTGAATTCCGAGACTTACTAAATGCAGTCACTGTCTCCTTTGTTGAACAGACATCTTTTGGCTCGAACGGTTCGGTGAATACTCAAAGTCGCGCGTCGCTCGATAGATAAATGCTGAAAGTGTGGACGAAAGCCCGTGTCGTGATTTTTACTCGACGTGCTTGCTCGATCAAGTAAAGCCAAGCCGTATGTGAGTACGGAGCATTACATTAACAAAAAAAATATTTTTTTCTCTTATACGTATTTAGGCACTTTTGATATTTTTTTTTAGTTTTATTCAATTATGGCCAACCAAAAAGACAAAAGGTTCTGCATAGCACTCGGGTGCTTAAATAATAATAGGAATGTTGACTTCATTCTTTACTGTTCCTAAGGATATCGAAATATAAAATATTATTATCATATCACAGGCACACATGGGGTGATGGTATCTACTCTACCGGCATCTAACACCAAATAATAGTAATAAAGGATAAGTAGGAAATAGTTGTAGGTAATACCTTTAACCTACCACACATTGAACAATAATGTTCTTATTATCACCAAATTACTAATACGTTGCATAACACCTCGGTGTATTTAGCTACCAACTAATATCTAAGAATTCAATTTGTTTTCTCACAACACCTAACCTTTGAGTAGGAGCGGCCTTAATTAAGGCGCGTAACGGGCTAAGTGATACAGACTGTCGCACCTGGACGTAAGGTGCATTTTGATTTAATACGCGCGCTGCAACAATCGGTAGGCTATTTTAACGAAGGCGTGCAAAGTATTATGAACTAGGTTTAAACTCGCAAGTTTGCTATCAAAGAGTGATTTTTCTGCACTTGTACTATTATCTATTCGGTGGTAATACCTGATAGATACTAAATTATAACTTGTCCTCTATTGGATAGTCCCGTGCATTAAGTAACTACATGTTACACGCATATTGGTTAACATTCGTGAGTTAATATTTAAACAATTTTGATTGACAGATTGTGGCTGCGCCCTGGCCAAGAAGTATCTTTAAAAGTGACTTTAATGGATGCTATTGGAAGAGAACTTTTAGACGAACACGGTCCGCGAGTATCATGGGAATCCCAACCTAATCACGCTGGAATAGAATTCAAAGCCACAGATCGTCTATTTGTTGAAACTGATCCAGAATATGCACCAGTTCCAGTGCCGCTTAAATATTATCAGGTATATTACTTTTACAATCTAACGTTCATAACGATACTTAGATCTTTAAAATTATGTATGGACTACATACAGGCAAGAGAAAAAAAATTATAGCAAACAAAGTCGTAATAATAAAGGCCGGCAACGCATCTGCAATTCCCCTGGTGTTGCGGTTGTTCATGGGCGGCGGTAGTCACTTACCATCAGGTGAGCCGCATGCTCGTTTGCCCCCTCTCCTATAAAAAAAAAAAAAATAATAAAAGTACCAAGTATTATACCATTTTGAAATCTACATGAATTGCGCCAACTTTTAAATACAGTTACCAGGTCCATGTGGGTACCTTTTTTTACAGGTTGAAGGCTTCCACTTGCTTGATAAAACTAATGTTACACTTTTACGAATTTTTATGTATTTATTTCTACCAAACCGTAATAGGTACCGAAAAATAAAATAGTAGGTATAGGAGGTATGTCATTAGGCTATACAAAACGGAAAAAAAATTATAATCGGTTCTCATTTGCAGCTGCAGCATCAAAAATATTGACGCAATGGAATATTTATAAATCAACCTTTATCTTTTAAACCACGCATTTGGGTATAGGACTTAATTTTTTTTGAACAGTCCTTCCATGGTCTACAACCCCTTTGCGTTTGACCGTTCTGGGACACCTTGTATACATGTAAAGTTATAGTCTGCTTGCGGCACGCGATACTTAGATCTTAAAATTATGTATGAACTTATATATACATGTAAAGTTAGCCTTGTTGCGGCACGGCCCTAGCTGTTCCACCGTTTGGCAATCTTCGGAAGCTCTCGGCTCGGCTTCACCCGCTTCGCCAGTTGATCCGATAGTCCCGACGTTGTGTGGCCTAGCGTTCGTGTTCCGAACCGCTACTTAAATTTGCGTAGTGAATAAACGATTATTTAATCCCTTTAGATGTTTTCCTTCTTATTTTATACAACCATCATATTATAATGATGCGTTATTAGCATAATACATTTGTACTTAATTAGAGAATACCTTTACCATGTGGTAGTGTCACGCTACAACTATATTGTGGTTGCGGCACCTATGGGTCGGTTCGAAGGGTAACGACATCTCTTACAAAATACCAGGGTAAAATAGCAGCTTAAAGTTGCTGTGCTTCGTATGGTGAGTGTATAAAACCGGAGACTTTCTACTGGTAACAAGGTATTCGTTTATCTTAGTCATTTAGGGGTGGCTACGCATCCGCACTGCGATTCTTAATAGAGAATAGATGTAGGTGTCTATGGGTCACAGTATTCACCTCCGTCAGGTGCACTGTGTGCTTGTTATGTCACTCTTATTTTATTTTCTTTTCAGTTATTGGTAGCAGACAAACAAGCTGTTGGATGGACAGGTTCAATCAAAGCCAGCATACCTGAGGCGACTGCTAACATACAAGCAAGAGTCGTAGCGCCTTTACAATGTGATCCATTAAAGGTTTGTATCGATTTTCTTTATTTTTACATGAATAATTATAATTAATAAAAATCTTGTCATGAATAATTAATAAAAATAAAATTGCCGTACACACCAAAGCATAGCAGGTCACACACTGCTGCTTGTCGACAGAAAGAGATAAGTGGGTGGTGCCTACCCAGATGGACTCTCAGGTAGAGAAGGAGTCCTACCACATATTGGTGCAAAATTTCTGGTACTATGGTTCTCCGAACAGCCTGTTAAGCGTGGAGTAGAAATGGTTCATATCCTACAGTGTATTTGATGGATCGTGAAGAAAAAAAAAACCGCTTGTTAAGGTGAAAGCTCCAGGGTGGCCCGCGAAATTCAAATTTTCTTACGTTTTTTGCAATTTGTAGGTCAGTGTCAGGTTGTATATTTAACAAAATATAATTCGCGACCGTGACGAGTATGTATTTACAGAATTATAATCATTATAATCATCAATACAAGCCCCTAAGTTCCTATAATCCTACTGTATGGCTATTTCCAGAAAAAGTCATTCAAAGGAATTGTATGAACTTGGAGGATTGAATTGGTGATTTTAATGATAATAATTCTGTAAACACATACTCGTTACGGTCGCGAATCATATTTTGTTAAACATTCAACCTGACCATGATCTGCAAAGTCCAAAAAACGTAAAAAATTTGAATTTTGCGGGCCACCCTGGAGCTTTCACCTTAAGCATGGAGATTGTGGCCAATCCTCCCTCCATTGAGAAAGGGTCATATCGAACAGTGTATTTGATGGGTTGATGAAGAAAAAAAAACCGTCTGTTAAGCGTGGAGATTGTGGCCTATCCTCCCTCCAGCGGGAAAGGTTCATATCCAACAGTGTATTTGACAGGTTGATGAAGTAAAAAAAGAAAAAATGTTTTTATTTTTACCATGTAGTGGCGGTGTAAGAATATCTACTACTCCATATCATCCTGTGGGTAGCGTAATAGGCGACTGTGGGAAACTGAAACAGAAGATGGGCAGCAGCATCTTTCTAATAACAACTTAAAATAATAATAAAAAAAAAACTGCAGTTGCCAAACTGTGGCAACTACGGCAAAATCTCCCCGTTAATTCTCTTCTATGCTAGATAGCTAGTCTCTCTTGAGATTGGCCAATGTGACAGAAATTCTGTCTGGAAGACATTATTATTTCAAAATCTACATTACTACTTTTGTTCTAGGTGAACATTGCATGGGAAGGTGAGTCAGTATCAAACATTGCAACAGTAACGGGAGGAAGTGGAAAGTACGGTGTGGAGGCCGCAAAGGGTGTAACAGCAAGCATAGAGAATGGAGTCCTGACTGCTGCTGTACCAGCACCGGGAATTTACGATCTTGTTGTCACTGACCTGTGTGTGCAGGGAGAGAGACAAGTGGTTGAGGTATGTTGTAGGTGTTTTATTGAATAATACTAGAGCGACAAACTAGATTATTGTAGCCCATAGACACTTGTCATTAACTTCTTTTCATATGTCTTACACTGCAGCTTTCTAGTTGCATCAAGAATGGGTTGCCTCGACTAGGGAAGTATAGTGCTCTCACAGAAAGCCAGTATAACATAGCAGTATGATGCTGTTGTATTTCTTATACAAGATGACAATGGGGACGCTTACAAGGCTTTGGTAACAAGGCATATTTTTTTGTCATAAAATAAGAATGACATTTGAGCACACAGTTCACCTGATGGTAAATGTATGCTGTGACTCATAGACTACTACTATCCTCGATTAAGAATCAAAATACAGTCGCATCGCACCCCTGAGTACTAATATGGAATGCATCATTTCCATTAAAAAGGGTCTCTGGTTCTCTACACTCACTCAGACTGGTGTTCTGTGAGAGCGTGGTCCTTCCCCGGTCGAGCCGACCCATTAATATTACAATCACAATATAGCTGCAGCATGGCTTTACGCATGTTAAAGGCATTTCATCTTAGTCCTCAAGTTTTAACTATGCATCTGTGTTTTGATTCTTGAATTCGACTACATTTATTTATACCATTACTACAAAATTTATCTAGCTTTTTTTTTTAAACACTCGGAAATTTACACGGAAATAAAGTTTTCAATGGTTTTGTAGGTTAATATAGAAGAAGTTTTAAACGTGGAAGTGGAGACGACGCGTGCCGTTTGTGTTGGAGGCTGTGTGCCAATAACTGCCCTTGTTAAAGGAACATCCCAGCGATATTTAAGCAGTAGCGGCCCTCCGGAATGGCGAACCGTTGGCAACATTAAAGTCAAGGATGGCAAATTGTGCGGACTTCAAGAAGGATCGGGAAGGGTGCGAGCGTCACTTGCTGGTGTTTGGAGTCCCGAGTTAGAGGTTTGTTATTGTTTTTAATAACTCTTATATAAAAAATATGCATCTGTGATCACATAAAAAATAGAAAAAGGTCTTGATCATACTAATGTATTTGTGTTTCATATATGTAACTAATGTGTATGTTTACGCGTGTGTGTATGTCAATATAGATCGGGTGTCTAAATTAGATGAAATAAAAACAGAGTATTAATTGTAAAAGTTCTTGTTGGTATTTTGTGTGGTATATTAGTAAATAATAAGACCAATTCTTGGAGAATGCTATTAATAGCTTTTTGTACATACCAAATAATCATTTATGTGTAGTTATAACTTTGTTAAGATATAAAGAAATAAAAGAGGTATATCATTGAGGACTGGAATTGAAAAGCAGAAAAGAGTTTGCTGCGCTAGTGTAAGTCGGCGGATAATCTTCTCGAGATTTCGTTAATTTTTCAGTTATTCTGGTTTGTTTACGGCTGAGCACGTCTCGGCCTATTAAAAATTGTAGCGTCCGCGGGAATGGTACTTTGTTTTCTCGCACGTATTTTTGCATTCATACATTCTCCTTACGTCGTTAATACATGTTATGGGTTCACTGCCTCCACGATACAGGAGAAAATCTTAGTGTGAAGGTAACGTTTTTTAAAAAAGTAAAAAAAGAAAAAAATGGGTACCCTCGATTTGTCCGACTTCAATCTTCAAAATAATATAATATATAGGGTTATTTTGTAATAACCGGCCAAATTTGCAGAGAAAGTCAGAATTAGGGAACGCAATGTCGTTCTCGCGTGATCTCGGCCTGAAATCAGACGAAATCTCGCGAGATTTTTGAGATTACAAAGAAGCATAAAAACGTATGTCGTGTAGCGCGCAGGAGCGCGATCAAATTGACTGACGAGCACGAGTCGGCCGGTGCGCTGCGCCTGGCCAGCGGGGGAGGGGGGGGGGGGGGCAAGGCAAGGGGTCGCGGTTCGCGGTACCGCTCAATTCACCACGCGAATCACGTGCTTTATGTCTTTGTTGTCATTTCGTAATTAATTTAATTTCGTTTGCGTACTTCTGACTGTTTTAAGTCTAAAAATTGTGTTCGAGTTGTTTGACGATATTTAAACGATAATGTTGACAAATATAGTGTATAAGGACTATGTGAGTGTGTCGGAAGTGTGGAAACATTTTTCAAGAGCTGAAGATGGTTTGAGTGCAAAATGTAAACATTGCAGAAAGATTCTCAAAACTAAAGATCGGTCTCCTCGCGGCTTGCACGACCATATAAACGCGATACGTAAAATATATATAAAAAAAATAAGAATATAGGAGAATGACCGTCAACGTCAAGTTCATCGAACACTACATAGAATAGCATTCAGCCATTGGATTCACCAGCACCTGCGCTATCAGCATCTCCGTCAAGACAATGAATACAATACAATACAAACACTCACGCCTGTCACCCAGAGGGATAGGCAGAGACTACGGACTTCCATTTGGCGCGATCCTGACACACTTCTCTCGCCTCCTTTACATCCATGTATTAACGCATACACGCTCGTCGGTTAAGGGTACTCCTAGTCTGGCCCATTTTCAATGTATCGCCGATTTGGTCGATAAATCTTCGTCTAGGGCGTCCCTTCCCGACTTTGCCGTTCACTTCTGAAACATAAATTTGCTTTGTCACTCTTTCTACGTGACCAAACCACCGAAGCATTCCTATTTTAATCCTAGTCACAACGTCATCTTGCAAACCACACATTTCTCTTATCACACTATTTCTCACCCTGTCATTCAGATTCAACCCTAGCATACTACGTAATGAACGCATTTCTACAGCCTTTATTCTACTCTCATGCTTCTTCTGCCATACCCAACTTTCACTACCATACATTAAAGTAGAGACTAACACACCATTATGAATTGCCATACGTGCCTTCTTTGACACATTCTGACTCTTGATAATAGCGTGTAGAGCCCCATTAACTCTATTTCCTGCGTTCACTCGTAGTTCTATATCCTTGTCATATCTACCATCCCAAATATACAAACTCATACACTTGCTCAATCAACTCCCCTTCTATTCTTATTTCACATAACGTTTTATTTTCTTCTCTTTCAAAAACCATCACTTTCGTCTTACTTGCGTTCACTTTCTTACCCCTTTCTTTTAATGACCAGTTCATTAAATTAACCATCATTTGCAACTCGGCCGCCGACGATGCAAATATGACTTGATCATCGGCGTACAAAAGGCATTTGACAGTTAACTCACCCATTCTCAACCCACATTCTTCAACTTTCAAAGTTTGCAAACAGCTGTCCATAAATAGGTTAAACAGCCACGGAGAAGCTACACAACCCTGTCTGACACCTTTTTGAATGCCAAACCAGTCCGAGTAGGCCCCGTTGATCCTGTCACAAGCACTAGAGTCCCTATAAAGAGACTTTCATGCCTGTATCAGACCAGTGCTCAACCCAAATGAGGTCAGTGCTTGCCATAACACGTTCCTGTCCACTCTTGTCATAAGCCTTTTCCAAGTCCATGAACGCACAAAAAACTTTCTGGTTTTTGGCCAATAATTTCTCCGCAATCATGCGCATGGAAAAGACTTGATCCATACATCCCATCCCCTTTCTAAATCCAGCTTGCACATCCCAAATTTTTCCATCAGTTTCTTCCATAACTCTTTCAATTATCACCTTAGCATACAGTTTACCCACAATGCTAAGCAAGCTGATACCACGGTAGTTTTTACAGTCCTGCTGCGACCCCTTTCCCTTATATATTGGGACTATAACGGCTTTGCACCAGTCTTCCGGTACCCGCTTCAGTTCCCAACATAAATTAAACAAGCTGTACAGCAGGCCTGCATCCACACCCTCTCCAGCCCTTAGCATTTCGAGTTATACTCTATCATATCCGGCTGTCTTACTTGCTTTCATGCTTTTCATTGCTTTCATTATTTCATCTACAGTTATCTCCCTACCTCTCTCCACTTCTTCCGGAATTTCTATTTCACTTATTTCAGACGACTCTTCACTCTTAAACACGCTTTCAAAGTATTCCTTCCATCTCTTTAAATTCGAAACTTCATCATTCAGCATGCAGCCATTCTCGTCTCGTATAGCATTCATTCTAGGCTGTTTTGAATTTCCCCTGGCAGTTCTTACGAGAATCCAGAACATTTTAATATTTGCCTGGAAGTTATCAGATATTCTTCTATCATTCTTATCTATCCTTTCTTGCTTTTTCCTTTCAACAACTTCTTTTATTCTATTATTTATACGTCTAAAGTCTGCCTTTTTTCTTTCAATCTCATCATTCATACCGCCAGAATTACCAGCTTTGGTTGCTAGAAAATCTAGCCATGCCCTCTTCTTTGCTTCGACTTCCATCCGTACCTCATCATCCCACCACAACGTATTACTTTCCTTTCATTCGTTCTCTTACTTACACCACATACTTCGGTGCTGTATCCACCAAAACTTTCTTAACATTATTCCATACATTCTTCAAGTCTTAAATCATTCACACAAAATTCATTCAACACACTTATATTTTCCCTCAGTCTGCATTTATACTTCTCTTTCACACCTTCATCTTGTAACCTCTCTATTCTTATACGCTGTACCGCAGTGGTAGACACAGATTTCCGATGCCGCCAACGCTTGAATAGACCATTAATTCGGCATAAGACCAAGTAATGATCCGTCATATTATTTAGATTCACAAACATAAGCTTGTAATGCCACTTACAAGACTCCACAGAATTAGTAATTCATTTATGGGGCAATGTATACGCTTTTACAACAGAATCCCAGAACATGTTCAAAGTTTGTCAATAAACAAGTTTAAAAGTTTTATTAAAGAAAAACTGTACAAAAAGGGTTATTATAATATCAAGGAATACATGAATGAAAATAACCCCTGGGAATAAGGTGATCGCCACCATGCTGGTTCTATGAAAATTCATTTAAAATTGTATAAACAAAATTATTGTTAAGTGAAATTATGTTTAAAAAAAAAAGTCCCGCTGGGTTTCTTGCTGGTTCTTCCCAGGACAGAGGTATTTTCCGAACCAGTGGTAAATAAAATAATGACTTTCAATAAGTATTATGTAATAATCCATATTGAATAAAAATCATTCTATTCTATTCTATTCTATTCTATTCTATTCTATTCTATTCGTCCCTACGTTGGACCCACGGTAAACCCTTGTATCTACCACTGCGCTCCTCATTCTTTCATCCACAATTATGAAATTTATCATGCTTCTATCATCCCCTCTTTCCCAAGTATACATGTGAATCCTCTTATGGCGAAAGAAAGTGTTCGCCACAAAAAAATTCTTTTCCACACATATGGTGAGGAGGTCTTCACCATTCTCATTTATTCTTTCATCGCCAAACGCTCCTAATATCCTTTCGTAACCAGACCTCTTCACCCCAACCCTTCCATTAAAATCTCCTAACATAATAATATTTTAATTTTCCTTACATTTCGTCAACACCAGCCCTACCATGTCCCAAAACTGTTCTCGGATATAAGTGGGCTTAGACATATCTGGGACGTACACCCCAAGCACAAACAACTTTTTTAAGCCCACTTTCATTCGTATCCACAGCAGCCTTGGGCTTACACATTCATACTCTTTCAAACATTGACCCATTCTTTCTGAAAGGATGACACCGACTCACCCCCTGATAGGATTTTCTCCTGTGCCGTGGAGGCAGTTGAACACGTGGAACACTTGATGAACGGTCTTCGTCCATGAATAAGCGCTATATGATAGCGCTTATTCATGAAATGTGTGAACATTGTGAATGGAAAGGGAATTTTTTGAAATGTAGGACTGAACCGCATCTGCTGAAACCGGTATTATTATTTTGAAAAAAAAAAAGTCGCATGAATTTGGACTAAGTCTAGAAAATGATACTATCAATATTACTACGGATGGGGCTTCTGTAATGAAAAAGTTAGGATGTTTAATTTCACAATTACATCAGCTGTGTTATGCTCACGGAGTTCAACTTGCCATAACAGATATTATTTACAAAAAACAAACTGTTCAAGATGATGATGACCAGCATTTAGAAATACAGTCTGAAAATGAGGAAAACGGCGACATCTGTCATGATATGGACGAAACATATACGGAAATAGGTACTGATGATGCTTTTTATTACACTTTTCCTAGAAGAGAGGTCGACATAGCTATGGAATATGCATATATTATGGAAAAAGTGAGAAGGTCACTCTTCAAAAAATCGTCAACGAAAAATGATTTACTTCAAGTATAATACTTAAGGCAAGAATTTGGCAAAAATATAAACTTACAACTTCATTGTAAAACTCGCTGGTCGAGCTTCGCAGACATGATTTCTACATTTAATAAACTCAAGCAATGTGTTAGCAAAACTTTGGTCGGTCTAAGCCTTCATGCTGATCCGAAGTACCTACTGTTTTGAGTTCTGTGAAACTAGCTGTAGAGGTATTATATCATTGCGAATCTGACTTGGCTATCGCAGAAACCACACTTCGCTTTATGATTCGTAAGCTATAAGAATTCAAAACGCCACTGGCAGAAAACCTAGCTGGATCCCAGCATATTTGTTGTACCTTAGAGATCCTGCTAAATACCATAATAATTCAGAGGAGTTTGCCAATGATGAAACTTTCAGACTGCCCCCGAAGCGTGTGTGCGAAGTGAAATTAAATCACTTATTGAGCGATTGCATTTGCAACACAGTTGTCAGGCAACTACAAATTTAGATTTTTCAAGATCGGCTATAGCCATTCCTTTGTCCTCATTTATTGTCAATTCCATGGAAGCGGAGGCAGAAAGGAATATTTAATTACAGGATGAACTTCAAGAATCTTTGACTGCTTTTTATGAACCAAAGGATCGGAAAATTTCGACTGCTAGTTTGTTTGGAGTCATTGATCAAAAAGAAAATAAATCTTTATGAAGCCGGGGGCTCCAAGGAAGAACTGTTATAGTTTGCAGGCAACTGTTTGCGCTCTATAATCTCTACCAGCGTAGAAGCTGAAAGAGCTTTTTCTGCAACTGGTTATATGACTTGCAAAATCAGAATCCTTTTGTCAGTTCTTATTAAAATTTCGATTAAGTAATTCTTATTAAGATTATTATTTTGTTAAATTTATAAAACAGGAGACTCATTACTATTTTTATAAATGTTAACTGACTGAAAACTACATATTTTATTTTTTAAATTTGCTTTTAGTTTCTTAAATTTATAAAAAAGGAGGTCTGATTAGTTATTGTAATTGATAAATGGTAGAAGTTTTTACCAAAATTTTGATAATTAGGTATTTTAATAGACGTTAACTAGCGAATCTAATTCTGAAATTTGTTGTTATTTTAAATGACTAAAGAAAAGGAGAGAGGACTGATTTCTTAATACATTACCTTTGAATTTTTATTTCTCTTTTAAAACGCCTGATCATATTATAACAATTTGTAAATTATTTTGCCAATCTCGCGAGATCTCGAAATTGGCGAGATACCGCGAGATTGACTTTTACAATCTCGCGATATCCCGCCTAAGCTAAATTCTCGCGAGATTACATTCCCTCTTTGACTCAAAATAAGTAATATAGGCAAATAATGAAGAAAAATTAATTAAAAAAAATCTCAAACATTCTATAATTTTTATCTATTTAATTCAAAATGCGTGGTAATGCATTATTTTAACTGCTTGTCGTTCATAAATATCTGATGCACACTATTTTACGAACGTACACATTCGTAATGGTCGCTCAGTAAGGTACCTTACCGCGCGTCTTCCCGCACCACACCTTCTGTTTAAACTGCCTTCTAGCTACTTCTCTTCACCCTTCTAGTTACACCGTTAATTACCTACGTCCGAGCGGACGTGGCGAGCGCCCGGCCGACAGCTGGCTGGTCGACCGTGACCTCGTTACGTCACGTCATTGGTAACGAAGCGTACGTAATGAACCACGGATACTATGAAACTAGGTGCAATATAACATTTTAAGCACTGAAAGTTAACGTGGTGTGCACATATACTAAAGTAAGTCTTTAGTCTTTACCGCGGCAAGAAATTAACGTACCTGTCGCAATTAACCTACCAATTGAAGAACAATTGACAGATGAATTATTCAAGCAATAACTTAAATAGTGAATATGAAGATGGATTGCGCACGGAAGCTCTATACTATGGTCTGAAAACTCGCCGGAACTTTCACCGTTTCACCGAACTTATTTGTGTATAAAGAGTCGTGTTTACGTCAAACAGGCCCAAAGTTATGAAGACCGCCACAGTAAAAGTTATTGGTGCTGTCACGGAAGTTAAAAGTGCTCAAGAACAGGTAATGAATGTAAAAATATTTTAAGAAAACGTGCATAAAGAATGTGGCCCGACCTGTTCAACCGTTCGGCAATCTTCGGAAGCCCTCTGCTGCGCGGCCCTGGGCTGCCAATTCGGTTTTTTTGCCTCGCCAGTCGATCCGATCGTCCGACGTCGTCAGGCCGCTTTGCGCTACTTTGAATTTACGTTGTGAATAAACGGTTATTTAATATGTGGCATGTTCGTTATTCACATCCACACAAGAGAAACCGATTCCATTTTGAGGTACCAATATTAGATATTTTGACTACTTGCGTAATTTAGTTGTAAATAGTTTATTCCAATTTTAAATACGCCCTAACCTAACCTAAGCCCCTTAAAAGTGTTTCGAGAGTCATTACGAATCGTCTCGCGCGCAGATTTGACGACTTCCAGCCTCCCGAACAAGCCGGTTTCCGAAAAGGCTTTAGCACTATAGACCACATACATACCCTTCGGCAAATTGTACAGAAGTCCGAAGAGTACAATTTGCCACTATGTATGACGTATGTGGACTATGAGAAAGCCTTTGATTCCGTCGAAATTTGGGCGGTGCTGCAGTCCCTTCAGCGATGCCAAGTTGACTGTCGGTATATCGAAGTGCTGAAGTGCTTGTACAGTAGGGCTACGATGGCTATCCGAGTACAGAACCAGAGTACGAAACCTATCCAATTGCAGAGAGGTGTAAGACAGCGTGACGTGATATTCCCGAAACTCTTCACCGCTGCATTGGAAGACGTTTTCAAGCTTCTGGACTAGAAAGGATACGGTATTAACATCAATGGCGAGTACATCACTCACCTTCGATTTGCCGACGATATAGTCCTTATGGCAGAATCGCTGGAGGACCTAAGCACTATACTCAATGACCTCAATAGTGTTTCCCAACGGATAGGTCTTAAGATGAACATGAACAAAACAAAGATCATGTTTAATGTCCATGTCACACCTATGCCGGTAGTTGTTGGGAGCACTAAGCTCGAAGTTGTTGACCTCAAAACTTGAAAACAAGACAGTACAACCAGTGCGTGTTGCCAGTGATAACCTATGGTACTGAGACGTGGTCCTTTACTGCTGGCCGTATGAGGAAGCTCAAGGTCGCTTAGCGAGCTATGGAGAGGGCTATGCTCGGAGTTTCTTTGCGTGATAAACTTAAAAATGAGGATATCCGCAGTAGAACCAGAGTGACCGACATTGCCCAACGGATTAGTAAGCTGAAGTGGCAATGAGCCGGCCATATAGCTCGAAGAACCGACAACCGTTGGAGAAAAAAGGTTCTCGAGTAACGGCCTCGTACCGGTGGACGAAGTGTAGGGCGTCCCCCCACTAGATGGAGTGACGACCTGGTAAGATATGCAGGTAGTCGATGGATGCAGGTGGCTCAGGACCGTGCTTTGTGGCATTCCTTGGGGGAGGCCTATGTTCAGCAGTGGACTTGTCAAGGGCTGTAGTGATGATGATGATGATGATGAATGAAATGAAATGTCGTTGGTACTTTAAAAATATGATTGCAATTATTATTGTTATATTCGACACATGTATATTAATGTCAATACATGTGAAGCAAATGAAAGAGTGTGTATAAAGCGGTGGCGACGATATTTGTGCGCAGGTGGTGGTGTTCCCGGCACTGGCGGTTGTGCCATCGCGCGCGCGCGTTCCGCCGGGCGCGCGGCTGCAGCTGCGGCACGCCGGCGGCCCGCCCGCGCACCTCGCGCGCCTGCACTACCGCGCCGCACACCACACCGACCGCATACACGTCAGTACACCACGCTGCCTTATCTTATACTGTGCACTATGTGCTCGCCTACTGACTAGCGGCTTTACCGGTGCGCGGCTTCTGGATGTTCACTTATGGTTTTTTTTATAGTATAAAGGTGACAAACGAGCACACAGTCCACCTGATGGTAAGTGGTTGCTGCGGCCCATAGACATCTACATCTATCCTCTGTTACAAATCAAAATGTAGATGCGTTGTCACCCGTGAGGACTAAGATGGAATGCCTCATTTCCAGTAAAAAGGGCCACTGGTGACACTATGTAACAAATAACTTCACCTCCACCCCAATTAGCACCATCTGGTGACCGGAAATTATTTACCCTTCCCTTGTCAACATTTGTCGTCAAATAGCAGTGCGCGTTCTGCTGTGTTTCAGTCTAAAGGGTATTAAGCTCTATGAGGCATTCCAACTCAGTCCTCGGAGGTGACAACACATTTGTAGCCTATTTGTTTGATGTTGCTTTTTACTTTAAGTTTCCTTGTCACTTTAGTTTTATACAAAACCATTTAAAAAATATTTTATTATACGTCAAAGACGTAAGAACATATTAAATATTATTTATGTTACTATATTTAATGTATATTTATCATTTTCTTTTATAAAGTTAAGCCCAACCAGATAAGAAAATTGCATTAATACCCCACGATAATAGCAGATATAGATTAAACAGAAATTTTGTAGTGGGAAAATGGCAAAAAGTTTTTCCTTGTGACCTAGACTAAATTTTACGGGCGAACACCAACAGCAGTTCTTTGAAAAAAAAACTAGCAAAAGCTTTTTAATTTGTATTCTGCCTGCTTTCTAGTTTGGATTCTACCAACATCAAGTATTTAATGAGTCACACAGTGAATAGACCATGAAGTTTTCAAGTTAGTTTCGGATGAATTCAAATAGATAATTTTACAAAATTACTGCGAGTACTACTAATATTATAAACGTGAAAGTTTGTGAGGATGTATGGATGTAGGGATGTTTGTTACTCTTTTAAGCAAAATTTACTGAATGGATTTTAATGAAACTACAAAGATAAAGATATAGATCATACATCAGAATAATACATAGGCTATAATTCGTAAAGACGTAACGGCTTTACTTGGCCAAAATATAACGATAAGTGTTAAGTAAGCAAAAAAAAAGCCATCATCTGCGAGCTATTTAAGATTTAAACGAATATAATGAATGATAGAATTGTTTTTCCTACATAGTTCTACAAAAAAAGTCCACGACAGAATACCGGGTGTTTGTGAAACGCTTCCGAAAACGAAGACAGACGATAGTATTAAGGATACCTTTGATGATGGGTCACAAATAAATTCGATCTCGAGGAAAAAAATCATCTTTTCACAACGTTTTATTAACTCTATTCTCGCTCCATCATGTTAGTACAGCTAAATGAAACGATAATTTCATTAAAAAAAATCATGAAAATACTTAAACATAAAACTAGCAGTGGAATTACAATCAGCTGTCTAGGGGTCAATGTACGCTTGGACGCCAAATTCGTGCGGCCCGCAGCTAGTGATGGTACCACAATACCTAATAATTTACAACACTTGTCTAAATACCTAACTTATCTACTTAACCTACTATTTTGCCACTGTGCTTGTCTCCACCTAGCCACTTTATTCACAGGTTAAACCAAATACCTGGTTCGATTTCCTGCTAATAAAAAAATTACTTAAATGATATGTTAAGAAGGTTAGAGTCATGCTTTTTTATCCATCGTGTAGGTATGTTTATTATTCTGATCTATTCAGTTATGTACCTATTCAGATGAGTTCATTACTAAGTTATTAAAAAAAAATTACGTATGAAACAGATTACCGATCTAAATCCTAAGTGGCCTTATGAGATTCTCCAAGGCACATTAACATGTTGCCGTATTCGTGAGCACTATAAACGTACCTACGCATTAGGCATTATTAAAACAAAACAAGAAAAACAAAACGTAACAACTAGAAATAACAACAAGAATGTAATAAACAAAACAATTGAACTGTCGCTCACGCGCACGTGATAGTCAACACGGAACTGTCTCAAAAACTAAAATTAATAATCAATCCCGCCAAAATAAATGCGCGCGAGGCATTCGTAACGTCCTTGAAGCATTGAACACTTTCACAGACCGTAAAACGGTTACGACATTGCCAACGTTTACTTTATTTATAAGTTTAGTTATCCCTATGACTGGTCTTCATATGGAATTAGAAGTTATGGTTGTCATTTTTAATACAATACACAATCAATTGTATTGAAATTAATAAACGTACCTAATTGGGTACTCAGTACTCACTTACTCAATTATAAACACTATTTCATCGTTATCGTTGATTTTTTTTTATTGTAGAATCATAATAGGTACTTTACTAGGTACTTTAACTACTACTTTACTAGTACTTTTACTACTACTAAAAATGGATAATTTCTTGAGCATTATTTTTTATTTCTGTCGTAAAATATAAAGTAGTTTGTAACAAGAAAACTTAAGCTAAGGCCAGCGTTCTTTTTACGTGACGGGACCAATAAGAGTTGGGCGTCCCCGAGAATATTGACCCTATTGTCAGCTGATTTTATTTTAAATTTCACTACTGGTTTTTATGTTAAAGTATTTTCATGATTTTTGTTTAATGAAATTATCGTTTCACTTAGCTGTATTAACATGATGGAGCGTGAATAAAGTTAATAAAACGTTGTGAAAAGATGATTTTTTTTCTTCGGGATTGGATTTATTTGTGACCTATCATCAAAGGTATCCTTAGTACTATCGTCTGTCTTCGTTTTCGGGAGCGTTTCATATACACCCGGTATATCTAACTTCTATGTGTAAATCTTTATTATTAAAATAGTGAATCATAAAAATACAATAAAATTTGATACTTTATTTGCAATACACATTTTTTTTAAATTGATTTTTATCAAAATAAATACTTTTGTCGCTTCTGATATTCAAAGTAGATAAACTTTGTCTATTAATCTTCAGGAAATCATACCTAGAGGGTGATGGAATTTACTATGAAAGTGTGATTATTGATGGATCACCTATGGTTTAAAGTATAATATCTACGCGGACGAAGTCGCGTGCAAAAGCTAGTATATAATAATTTATCATATACAGGGTCAACAATAGTGTTCTCTAAAACAAATGTAATATTTTGAAATAAAAATGCAACAATATTACTTATTTTCTATTTTCTTTTGCTTATTTCATACCAAAAATGAATTTAAAAATAATATTAATTTTAAATACTACATGAAAGAATTGGATACCAAAAATCAATACAATACTTTTTTATGCGACACATATTGGCATGATGTTTTTTTTTATTTTTTTTTTTTATTTATTCAGGACAACAAACAATTACATAATAATGCTTAAACCAAATAACATTTTATAAATAACATTAGTCATTATGTAACCAGCACCGTTATCCACAAAGTAATATTAAATTGGTAACAGTAAATAATAAATGCGCAATAAACAGAGTATAAGTAAAAAAGGGAAAATAAAATAAAATTTACAGTATTCAGTAACATAAAAATCCAAATGAGACAAAAGGGAAAAAAATTGCTAACAGTACAAATTTATCTTGTAAAATATTTTAAGATACTATTGAATGTCTACCAACTTTCTTAGAACGTTCTTGCGAAATTGTAACTGTGATGATTGATGTTGCCAACCAAAGTTGTTTGGTGACCCTACCGGTGCCGGTAGTTTATTAACTTATTAGCTAATAAGTTTGGTCATTTAACTGAATCCATTTTAACATATAATTTTGTATTTTAATTATTTACTTTATATTTTATACATTACATTAAAGGTTATTAAAACGATTTTTCCAGATATCTCCAACTGGCTTAGTCCATGGGTTGGCGATGGGAACTGCTCATGTCAAACTCGTGGCGACCGACATAGCTAACGTGGAAATGGCAAGCGCTGAAGCGGAAATTGAGGTAACTTAGAGTATATCATAATATTAAACAAATTAAATTTTCATTGTAAAAATCTGAGAAATAAAGACAACATTTATTTTAAAGCATAATAAGAAATCACATATCACACTTGATAAGTAAAGCATTAGGCAATAGGATGTTACAAGCGTTTTGCATCTACTACTACTATATAGTCCGTACGGATAAAGAACGGGATTAGAAATGGCGGCTCATCGAGTTTGTACCGTCAACATGCACAGTATCAATAGCGAAAACCCACTAATAACGGTGTATCGTTATAACGTTATATTATTCAGTTAAACACCAAATATTTTATCTTATCAATGTTTCTCTTTTAATAAAATCTCTAAATTTTTCAGATAAAATTTAGTCTAGATCACTCCTGGTATTACTCTTTATTTGTTTGTGAAGTTTTATTACAATCGGTTTTGCCATGATGACGATTAGCTCGAACGGACAGACAAACGAAAAATGAAAAAATTGTTACTACTAAATATTTTATACAAAAATATTCATTAACAAACAAAAATCAACAATAATTATGAAGAAAACTGTCGGAACGCGTCGTAGCTCATAAATTAGCGACAGCGGATTGAATTTCTTATGTAGTTTAAGGGGCTTTGTTATTATTGATTCCAATGATAAGTTGAACGAAAGTCATAAGAACTGAAGTTATAGAACGAACTAAAAAACGCATATCGCAGCGTACTTTTGCGACGGTGTCGAACGAGAGGTGAATAGAGGTGAGGTGACGCCATTTTCAGTCCCATTCTTTAACCACACGGGTAGTAAGTAGTAGCAGTACAGTTGCGTTGTAAAGCATAAAACAAGAGGCGTTACGAGTAATTCGCACACACTCATTATTAAATTTCAGAATATTAGTTTAATCTTAAACAGCACATACACAAGTGTAACAATGCATACACAACTTTGGTTTTTTACCAAGATTTCTGGCTTGGGCGCTTGTCCTTTAAGCTATGTCTTCATTTATCTTCGTATCTATATAAGTGTTAATAATCCTTTATAGTACACTGCTTCACAATATGTTGATGCATCACATTGCGTAGCCCTTAAGTTATTTTGACGGAAACTTAAGCCAGCAGACAGTTTGCGATAGTATCTCAAGGCGCCTAAGTATACAGACACCTTATCTTGAGATTCAAAGCACCATCGGAGTACTTGTTCCACTGTTTCCACTAATAGTTCACATGCTCAGACATTTAATACACAAAATCGCATCACTTGTACATATCAAAATCCACTTCAAACCATTATTTAAACAATAACACAAGAGCAGCAATCCGCCGCCGGTCAAGTTCTCGCCAAAACCACAACTTTGGTATTTATAGCATAGGTTTGGAAGAAATACCACGTATAACTTTGGAGTATTTCTTTAAACAAAATAATATAATTAGTTGAGTAGTACAACGAAAAAAAAACTGAAAATCAGATAGCATTCCGTTTTCTTTTATACAGATATTTATATATTATATTATTATAAATCACGGTTTATTGATAGCTTAGGGTTGAAGGTATGACTTTCTTACAAAAGAAGTTCCTTAGCCGCTGCGCAACAGTTTGACATATTCGCTGTAAAATTCTATAATTTACATTTTCCACATAGACTACTTTTTGTAATAAGACGGAAGGATATTTCTTAATAAATTATTAAAATTATTTTGATTATGTACCTGCCTGTAGAGTATTTAAAAACTGCTGTCTTTTATTGTTATTTTTACATTTAGGTGGTTCCAATCTCAGGCCTACGAGTACATGCGTCAACGCAAAATCTGTTAGTCGGTTCTCCTACTCCGGTGTGGGTGGAAGCAGCTGGTCTGACTGCGGCTGCGTTGTCCGCCGTACAGCCACCTCCGCGCGTGACATGGACGCTCAGAGACTCTACTACTGCACGACTTTATACTGGACATGTTGATGGTGCGCATTATTATTTCGTTTTATTCAATAAAATAAAAATGATCCAATTCATAACTTGTCGGCATCTGTCTTTCCTTCATAAGTCAGTGCGCTTTACCATCCAGCTACATCGCCACTTGCTATCAAGTGAGATAGTATTCAAGCGCTGGCTTAGAATATTAAAAAAAAATCACAAAAATGCACAATTATGATCTTTTACTTAACTCATACTATCGATTTATCATCATCATTACATCCTATCAAAATCCACTGCTGAATATAGGCCTCTCCTATGGTATGGACGATTTGCTTTGATCGCCACAATTGCTATAGTAGTTGGATTCTTTCCATCGTCGGCCTGGATATTTTTTGAACACTTGTATAAATACGGGATGGTTTTACCGTTATCTATCGCCAGAATATTGCTTGCATTTATCGGACTAGTCTTTTGAAATAACCACAGTAAGGATGTGGTAATGGATTTTCTAATACTGTTGGTATTATACGGAATGGTTTTACCGTTATCTTATTGTTAGCTACAAGATATTGCGTGCATTTCCCGGACTGGTCTTGAGATAACCACAGTCAGGATGTGGTAATGGATTTTCTAATACTGGTGGTATTACTACCACGGGGAAATTTAATAGTAATATTTTCGTATTGATAATTTGTACGAGTACATAAATTATACTCGTCAACAACTTCGAGCTCGTTTAGGTAAGTTGTCCAACTTTGACCGAGAGGTCAATCGACGGATTCAACTCGGCTGGCAATTTGAAATCAAAACAGTGTAAACAGTGCGTGTTGCCAGAGATGACTTATCAATCTGAGACGAGGTCCTTCATTGCCGGCCGTATGAGGAAGTTCAAGGTCGCTCAACGAGCTATGGAGAGGGCTATGCTCGTGGTTTTTCTGCGTGATAAAATTAAAAATGAAGATATCAGCAGTAGAACCAGAGTAATCGACATAGCCAAACGGATTAAGCTACGTACGAAGTAAGCTGAAGTGGCAATGGGTCGGCTATACGGGTTATTGTTCAAAGAGTAGCCAAATTTTCAACTTAAGTTGAAATATATAAATAATGATAAACCGATACTTCAGTTTTTGAAAATACAAGTAAATAAGGCTACTACTTTTATTTGTAATCATCCCAAATTGAATATGATTTGTGGGCAACAACGTTTTAGCCGACCGATCGACCTTTAGGCTTGAATTCCTCCTACGCTGACGTCAGTCGCGTACTTCGGTCGCGCGTACTAATGTACATTGTGTTCTATATAGCCCCAGACTACGAAGCTGACGACAGCGGCACGTAGTTTGCTTGCTACATTAGTACGCGCGACCGACGTACGCGACCGACGTCAGCGTAGGAGGAATTCAAGCCTTACAAATGTATGCGTGCACAGTAAAATCTGTTAAAATAATGCATTACCACGCATTTTAAACTTAAACGATAAAAAGATTGACAGACTGTTTAAGATTTTCTTTTACTTAATTATTCTTCACCATTTCCCTGTATTTCTTATTCTGAACCTTCTCTGCAAATTTGGCCGGTTATTACAAAATAACCCTGTACAGCTCGAAAAATTGACAAACGATGAGGAAGCAAGGTTCTCGAGTGGCAGCCTCGTACTGGTAGACGAAGTGTGGGTCGGCCCACCACTCAGTGGACGGTACAGACACAGTAAAACGTGCAGGAAGTCGTTGGATACAGGTGGCTCAGGACCGTGCAGTATTCAACAGTTGACTTGTAAATGGTTGCAATGATGATGAATGATAAAATCATTAAATCATGATTTTTAGTTTCATTTTTAAAGAGTTTTTAGCAAGGCCTATCCCACTAAAAACAAATGTAAATGATCAGCAGTTGCACATACGAATAGACGAACCAAGCAGTTGTTGTTTAATATTGAATTTATAACGTGGCCAATTTTTATTTGTCACATAAAAACGTTTTTAACGTAATAATATTTAATACAAGCTTATATTTTCGTAGTCATATTTTGTACTTCAATTTAGTTGAATATAGAAGTTGCCTAGTTACAAATTCATTATCAAGGAACATAACAATTTTTATTTTATATCATTTGAAGAATTTTGTACTTTCCTGTAGCTATAAATGTAGAAACTGTTATGGAACTGGGCACATTCAGATATCAACTCTTATATTGGAGAAGACGACAACTCCTATTGTCATTTGTTATCTGCCTTGCGTCAGTGAGTGATAAAGCCTTTAATAATATTAATTCTTAAACTACTAATTCATTCTTGAAAATTGAGATAATATGTATTTAAGGAGTCCTTATTAGACATTAAAAATTACTTTTCGAACTTGGGTGACAAACTGTCGTGTGTCTTGATTTTAACTGATGTGCTTAGTAGTCTGATAGACTATGTAATTGTGTAATTATCGGAATATTTTATTTTCCAGATCAGCTGGAGAGATCGGTAGCAGAAGGTCTGTCTGTGAGGGTTGTGCCATTGAAACCTGGTGTAATAACCATTGATGTCAGAGTTCGCAATATGGGCCAGGTAAATTACAATGACAGAAAAGTTTTGTAATAGCTTACGTAAGTGCCACTGCTATGTAAAGGCGCTTCTCGTTACTAAATGGGTTTTGTTGCAGGAAATCCGCCACGCTGCTCCAATACGTGTTGACAACTTCACATGTTTTTTTGGATTCTAACTTTTCAGGCATGCCGGTTTCCTCACAATAATTTTGTTCCGTTGAGGACGTGGTACATTTGTAACCTAATAGAGTCATATTGCAGCTATATAATGCATTAAATATATTTGTTGTTTTACTTTTAATTGTGTGTGTACAGTTGACTGCCTCGTTGGTCTAGTAGTGCGACTGCTGATCATGAGGTCCCGGGTCGGGTAGTTGTAGAGTCACCCCCCATTTCCATTTCCTGCCCGACGTGCTTAGTTTTTTATATAAATTTTTAAAAATCTCATTTTGAGGTTATGTTTTCGTAATGTTTTTGACAATATAAACCTAATTTGTGGGGGCAGAGAGTAGCGGGAGGGTAGGCCAACGCCACTCAACGTGGCGCAGCCGAGGGAAGGTCGGACGACGGAGTCCCGCTTTTTTACGGGGCTCCTATTTCTGGATGGTTTATAATAAAAATAACCACGAAGGGGGTGGAGAGCTCTGTTCGCTCGCTCACTCGACCCCGCCATCACCTTCTAACCTAACCTGTCCGAGTCGCGGTGCCCCAAGTTCAACAGGAGGCAGATAATGACAATAAGGAGCACATTCACGTAATCTCGGAAGCAACGGAATGACGGTTATGATGCGAGTCGCGAAGTCGAGTATAAAAACGTAGTGATTATATTCTCTTTGGTCGAGTATATCTGTTACGGATTACTGTTAATGTCAAAAGTTCCGTTTCAGGTACTAATTAGTGATTTATGAATATTTTTAGAAAATTATATTAAATATTTCGACGCAGCTCTGGCAGCTAAAATCGCATGGGGGCGCTTGAGATAAGCCCCCTTGACCCCCCCCCCACAGTGACAAACTCCTCAAATTCAGGCGACTTGATTCTAAACCCAACCCCAGATGAACAAAAATTATAAGGTATTACGATTAAGGTATGACAGTGGAACTGGTTTTATTAGTAATCGTTCTATTATTTTTAGGTGGCTGAAACTCGATCATGGGACAGCGCAATCGAGATCCTAGGTATTTCAGAAATTCGTACATCCGTTGAAGGGCTTCCAACTGAATTGGCATCTGGTGATAGACTTGCAATCGCTGTCGGGTCAACTATTCGTCTTAAGTCTGTACCGAGAAGTGTTTGGACGGCGTATGGCGATGGAGTGTTTGATTTAAGCCCAAATGGAGAGGTGAATACTTTACGACCAGGCCATGGAGTGATTGTAGCTCAACATAAGGATGACAGAAATAATATTTACAGAGAGAAAGTAAGTATTATCCAAATTGCATTACCTATTTATCGGATTGCTGTTTTTACTATATAATATAACATTGCTGTTTTTGGTAATTTGGGATCATCCCATCGACCTCTCAACGCTATTTTAATTTATTTATGGTTAACGATTATATCAATATAGTTTACGCGGCTATGGAATGGCTGAAGGGCCACCCCAGCTGCACCTCATCCTACTGCTACTGATATTGCAAGATTGGTGTAATGTTTTATTTTTATTTGGTTTATGAGCGTTGAAAGGTCGGTGGGATATTCCCAAAGTACCCTTTTTTACTACCCATATATGTTTATTAATATGTTATATTTTTTATATCCCATAACTGTAGGATTATACTCTATAAGTATAAATAATACAAAAACTCCTAGAATAAGTGGTACAAAAATGCATAGTTTCGAAGATATCATCAATCATAATTAAATTCGGTCAAAAATTGTCACCAGTATGACGAATTTATTTTCAATTACTTTTGCGACGTTGCCAAACTTCGCAGTAGTGTAGTTTAAGAAATCTAGACAAATAAATAAAATTGAAGTGTCTGTTTGTAATGCCGAAATAACAGCTTTTTAAGATATGCATATGAAAGTATATACGGTACTTATAACAAAAACACGATTTTTAAAATTTTTGTCCGTATGTCTTTCTGTCTGTCTGTTTGTTCCGGCTAATCTCCGAAACGGCTGGACCGATTTTGACCGGACTTTCACTGGCTGATGTTATAAGAGGTAACTTAGGCTACTTTTATTTTAGAAAAAGAATTAGGGTTCCACGCAAAAAATTAAAACCCATAAAATCCAATCGTAATTAATTACACGCGGGCGAAGTCCCGGGAACCGCTAGTTGTAAAATAAAATAGTTTGGAAAATTCAAGTGTGTCCAAAAAATCCACCTCATGAACGTTTTATTTAATTTTTATGAAATAAATAAATTGTATTCCTGACTTTAAAAATATATTATTTACATGTTTTAAAGAAAAATGGCAGGCATTCACACATAAAATTAGTTGAGAAGAAATGGTAGCGTCTACATATATATCAAAAATATCTTAAAATGTTAAGCTCCAGTCCTTGAGTAACTATGTCAAAGAATTTTGTCCTGAAAAGGCGTAAAAAAAAGATATTTGGATTTGAACTTTTTTAGGTTATATCTTATGTCACTTGGAAAAAATCTTAGAACACGAACCTCCGTGTTGGCACCGTTGAAGATGTTAGTTGTAATTTTAAGAGTTGATTTAATACCTGCTGGTCGATGCCGTTATTTTTAGTACGTCGATTTGCATGCAAAATAAGTCTAATCGCAACGGCTTCATAATATGGCGCTATGCGCTATATTAACCACCATTACTCCAGAATAATTTTCGGTGAGAGAATATATTTATTTTTCTGTATTACACAGAGAATATAACGCACGCCTTTCTCTTTTCCGGCAAGAGTCTCACGTGCAGCTGCTATCGCTGCTATTGCTGCTATATATGCTATCTAAATCATGTCAATCTCTAGTCTTGCCATGATTTGAAAAGTCAACCATATATTTTTCACATTTAAGTTTTTAGGGAAAATAATGAGGGTAAATTACTAAATCTAAAAAGCTTGGCGTGCTCAGCAAAGCGAGACGGTATTTCATGTCGGCACATCGCTTGCAACTTTACAAAACGCAAGTTCGGCCCCACATGGAATACTGTTCTCATCTCTGGGCCAGGGCACCCCAGTGCCAGCTCCTTCCACTTGACCGCATCCAGCGCAGAGCGGTTCGAATCTTCGACGACCGAGTTCTTTCTGATCGGCTCGATACACTGGCACTGCGTAGAGATGTTGCATCTCTTTGCGTATTTTATCGCATCTATCACGGGGAGTGCTCTGAGGAATTGTTCGGACTAATTCCAGCCGCTCAGTTTCACCATCGCACATCGCGACAAAACTCGCGTTTCCATCCATACATTCTGGATGATTGGCGGTCCACCACTGTGCGATTTAGAAGAAGTTTTCTCCCTCGCACAACTTCCTTGTGGAATCAATTACCACCAGCGAATTTTCCGGACCGATACGACTTAGGAACCTTCAAGAAAAGAGCTTACACCTTTCTAAAAGGCCGGCAACGCATCTGCAATTCCCCTGGTGTTGCGGTTGTTCATGGGCAGCGGTAGTCACTTACCATCAGGTGAGCCGCATGCTCGTTTGCCCCCTCTTCTATAAAAAAAAAACCTGGTAGACAGGTATTGTTGCATGGAAGAAGGTAGCATTTTCTATATATATGCAACGTGTAACAAAAACCCTGTGGTTCCCGTTAAGTACGTTATCAGAGTCAGTATTCAAACATAAAGAAATAGCCTTTTTACAAATAACTTGAACATTAAAAAATTAAATTTTAATGAAAAAAAAAATTAATTTGCAAACTTTATGTGGTTTTATTACCTCTACCTGACACGAGCATCGGTGAAGGTGGGTCTTTCACAATCATCTTATTCTCCGGATAAGGCAGAAGTAATAAAACCACATACCTACAATTCGAAAATATTTTTTTAAATAAAATATTTTTTAATTTAAAAAAAAAAATAATTTTATTGGTCTCAATAGAATATGAGACCAATTTGATCAAGGAAAAGAATGACCGTAATCGGTCTAATGACTGTCAATCACCCCGATTTGTATTTATTTATATATTTTATTATAAAAAAATATATTTCATCGAGGAAAAGAATGAGCGGGGTATTTTTTTGAGCCGGATCCTCTACTATGTCTATTATTTCCGGCTAATCTCCGAAACAGCTGGGCTGGTTTTGACGGGAATTTCATTGACATATAGCTGATGTTATAAGGAGTAACTTAGGCTATTACTTACTACTCACTTCTACTACTTAGCTTAGGCTTTTATTTTAGAAAACGAATTGGGTTTCGGCGCAAAAAAAAAATTAAAAACCATGAAATCCAATTGTAATGAATTCCACGCGGGCAAAGTCGCGGGGAACGGCTAGTAATTAATAAACATTATAACAATAGGACATAATACGTTGATTGAATGTGCGGTAGTAGCCGTACTTGTGTTTTAATGGGTACTTTATTGTATTCACAGACAATATAAATAGCGACACTTGTCATAAGGACGACATTGACCTCACACGTAGTTAATCGTATCTTTGATTAAGTAGAAGGAAGCGGGAGTGTACGGTGGAAGTATTACAGATGATTTTGTCAGCTATTGGATGTTTGTGTAGATTCGCGAACGTCCCGCTATGAATAATAGCCCACCACAAATACACAACCATTTACCATTTACCGGGAACTGTATTTCCCCTGGTGTTGCAGTTGTTCATGGGCGGTGGTAGTCACTAACCATCAGGTGATCGCTTGCTGGTTTGCCCCCATTCCTATAAAAAAAAAAGACTGAGACAATTCTTCGTGCAAAAGGTTGCCCGTAGGAAATATTTTAGAGTTGATAAAACTGTATACTTCTCAAATTGCCAATTTACTTTTGTTATTTATTCTTTATTGATGTACAGTAAAAATATATTGATCGATATCTATATCCTATATTGTGTAACAAATATTATATTCTAAGTTTATATGGAAAAAGCATCCTACAAGACTTTCCAATTACAATAATTCATTACATGATGAAATTTAAGTGGGACATATTGTTCATCTAATTTTTTTTGTATTCAAGGCCATTCACGTGGAGGTGTCGGTACCGCACTATTGCACAGCAGAGCCGTCTGGTGACCAGGACGACGATTCGTTACGAGTTGTATTAAGAAATTCTATTGGCAGAGAGCTGCTGGCTCCTGGGGCCAATGTATCTGTCAACTCGCCTGTGCCAGCACATATAAGGCGAGCCGCTAACAGGTATACTTGTAGTCTGTTTAAATGGTTGTATTATTGTTCTTATTATGAATACCGCATACGTATAATAAAGAAAAACATATCTTGAACATGATAATGTTTTATTTTATTTGCAAAATATGCAGTTTCTTAGCAGAGTAAGAGAATCCAGTATTCTATTTCGTCCTGTGGGTGTCATAAGAAGTAACTATGGGAAAAGCCAGAAATATCTCTTCTGATAGATAGATGGATCTGGTATAGCCGTTCCGTCTATGACAGATGTAAAATACGAACAGTGACGTCCAAAGTGCGAAAGGTCTGGTACCGCGATCATCATTCGTCCTTGCTACGGGCAAATCTTCCCTATAACAGGATAGGCACATGTCCAACAATGATCTTTTACGGGCTGATGAAGAAGAAGATGGATAAGTCAATGTTTGACCACAATCTCATCTGACGGAAAATAAAGATACGGACGAAATTGTTTTTAATGTTTGTTCAGGTTATGTTGCCTATTCACTCTGTTGTTAAATATTATCATATTATATTTTATTTTATAGAATAAGGGTGACAAGCGAGCACACAGTCCACCTGATTGTAAGTGGCTGCTGTGGCGCATAGACATCTACAACATCTATCTTCGATTACGAATCAAAATGCAGATGCGTTTTCACCCGTGAGGACTAAGATGAAATGCCTCGTTTCGAGTAAAAAGGGTCTCCGGTTCTCTACACTCACCATACGAAACACAGCAGCGTTATGCTGCTGTTTAATGCTGGTATTCTGTGGTACTTCCCGGGTACGACAACTACTACTAACATAGCTACAGCATGGCTCTACCGCGTAAAAAATATTCATATTGTAATGTTCTAAAAAAATCGACACTGCGATAGACTTTCATTACATGGTTGCTGTGCATTAAAATACTAAAAGATGTAAGGATCCGCACCTGCCATTCGACAGGTGTTATGGTTATTCATGAGTGGTGATAGTCACCTTCAGGTGAGTCCAATGCTCGTTTGCCCTCTCTTATATCATCATCATCATTTATCATTACAGCCTTTCAAATTCCACTGTTGAACATAAGCCTCCCTATAGATTGACTCATAAAGGGGATATATGCCATAGTTGGAATTCTTGCCATAAGGGTTGATAGCCGGATTGGCAGCTGTAGATTTTTTTATTTCTTAGTTATTACTGGGAAAATGCTTTTGCTCATCTCTGTCGCCTTCTATGACACCTAGGAGACAATATGGGATAATGGATATTTTACCGCCACTACATATTGTTCCCTCTCTATAAAAAATATAACTTTTTACATTGAACAGTAAACCAATACAATGTTTTAATAATTCTTTTTTTTTTTATTGCAGTGCTTTAGGCAATGAAATTATATTTACTGGCTTAGAGCCTTCAGGCGCGTTTATGAGTTTCCAAGCGACAGCCAGTGGAGTCACAGTTACTGATGAAGTTCTAGTGGTTGGAGCTGATTCGCAAGGAAATCGAATTGTTGGTTAGTTTTTTTTTTAAATTACTTCGTCACTCAATTTATTCCCTTTTATTACTTATTATTGTCGAATCTGAGCGTATTAGGATATGAAAGCAAACACAACTTATTTCTTAAGCTTTTAAAGCGAGACTGCGGTGACCGTTTTAATACACAAAAAATACATATAATTATTCTACCTCATAGATATATACTAGATTGGCGATAGAGTAATTAGGAGGAGACCAAAATCAAAATACACCAGTGTGCGTGTAATGTGCATGTGTGGGTGACAAATAGTGCTGCACCATGCATTGCCTGCCTCAACTTCAATTATCGATACCGATTGCATTATATTCGAGTCTTCTGATTTGACAGAAGATGTGAATATTTTTACCCTACTACGACGAACCCAAAATGATAGTTACAAGTTTAAAAGGCTATGTATCTATATTCATCTGATTTTTCATGTATTCTAAGCTACTCATCGTATTTTGACAAATTAGATTTCTTGAGAAGCATTGTGCCCTTTCGCGCGTCTGCATTAAGTCACATAAAAACTAACATGCAGCTTATTGCGGATTGAAAAATGAAATAAATGTTGGAATATCGTGTTTGGGATTTGGGTATTTAAAAGTGAAGTATTCAACGAATTTACAGTCCACCTGATGATGGTAAGTGGCTACTGTAGCCCATGGAAACTTCAACCAAAAAAGGTCGTTGTCAGCTCTACGGACTAAGGGTGCTTATATAAAGAAACAGGTTTCCGGTACAGACAAATCTGTGCCGGTCGGTACCGATCGGTGCAGGTATCTTATGCAGTCACATATAAAGAAACAGGTTTTAACTTGTCGGTACTGACTTACTGCACGGAGCTATACGGGTTTAAGCGTTTGCTGGTGTATGGTGTATATGTTTATGAAAATGGATGTGGGTAATGAAGTTTTGATAGCCTTGGTATTTGATAAATAACCTTTATGGGACATAAGAAATAAGTTCCATAGCAACAGAAATGTCACCGATAAGTGTTGTAAAGAGATTAGTTTGGAAATGAAACAGGGTGGTAAGTACCTATAACAAAAAATTGATTTATTTGCATATTTAGTTTTTAATAATAATTAGGTATTGTACAATAAGTGATTATGTCTGAAATATTGAACAAAATTATTTCTGACGTTTATAGCTACATTCGAAGGTGGGCTCAGCCTTTGGTTGTGCCATCTTTACCGTACAATATTTATAGGAGTCAAGTTTCGCTGAATACCCTATTTATCAATAATTATATAATGCAACAAACACATAGCTTTCACGATTTTGTCAACTAGTTCAATATCAGTTTCAATGCATTTAGATAACGAATACCACTTTGAATATAATCTACCAAATGCACATTCCACCGTTTTTCTCGCTCGCGATAAGCGCAGCAGTCCGTCTTCGGGTGAAATGGGTTGAACATGCCAGTTACACCATCTTTTAACTAAGCGATGTTCTATTTTATTTAATATGTAGTTAAATATTTGTCGTGCCATCCTGGTATAATCATAAAAATTGTGTTTATCAAACTTTGTCTTTCATAAATAAATGATAATATGACCCATATTTATTTTCTTTTCCTGTTAATATTAGAGACACTAACTGTTCTTTTCTTTCTACATTTAAAATAAACACTTTCCAGAAGTAAAAATCCTCGTCCGACGAAGTGGAGGCTATGGTTGTCAATAAGGCCAGGTTTACCTGTTTCTTTATGTAAGCACTTTAAGATGGAATGCCTTACAGCCTGTATTTATAACGATTCTCGACCAGAGGGCGATACCTACCTAGCCAGAAGACCTCCCAGACAGAAATGGGGTCTTAACACTTAGTTCATATATAAACTTCAAAAATTGTAAATATAAAGTCACTGAAAGAAAAGCTGTTCTTAAAAAATGATATGTGTATTATGATGTGTATATACATTAAAAGTAAATAACTAAATACAATTACCATACTAAATCTATGTTCTACCTACATTACATAAGCCAGTGTTTGACCATAATCCCACCTGGTGGGAAGTGGTCATGAAGGTAAATCGCACTGTCTTAGCGTAACAAAAGCCTATTCACCCTCAGCTTCGTTGTTACTAATAATAAATTTTATTTAAATGGTAGTGCTATCCACCAGGCTTATTTTGTTTATAATATGTTGCTGTTATATTATTAGATGCTGCCCATTTACAAGACCAACAAAAATGCGATATTTTAATCTACATATTTACTATAAAATTGTGATATTTTATTTTATTTAAAAATCAATCAATTTGCTAGGAATAGAGATTGTAGACAGCAATGTAAGATCTAACCGATTTCAAAAAAAGAGGAGGTGCTCAATTCGTCGGTTTTTTGTATGTTCAGTGATTGCTACGAGATCCGATTACAATGATGCCTTCTTTGTTAGAAAGGGGGGTACCTCAGGTGGCCCCTTATAAATTTTCCTTAAGATCTGATGATGAAGAGTAATTAAAAAATCATCAAACTCTTTAATTTGCGAAGGCATCTGCACCATATATGGGCAAATAATTCTCAACTACGTTCTTTTTTAATAATATAACATATATAATACGGAAGTGACAAGTAAACTTACAATTTACCTAATAATTGTTACTGCAGTCCATGGATTGCAGTAGTCACTTAACCTGCAGTCAACTTTAAACGAAAAAGGCTACATATGCGTTGTCATCTCTGAGGGCTTAGATGGAAAGCTTCTAAGTCTGTAATTATATTGTATATACCATAACCGGTTTTAAGTCGATTTTTAATTTATTAAAAGTTACGGCACTGAGAGCCGTGGATTTCGTTTAGAAAAATTGTTCCAGAAGTTTGTCTTTGTGTAATTTAAGTTTTTAAATTGTTACCATTATACTCGTATAGGATAAAATTTTAGTGTGTGTGTAACATATTTTTTAATACAGTTGCTCAAAAAGTGGCGTATTGCAGGGACGTATAGCGTTCGGGATGTGGGCTATTACATACTCGTGCTTTTTCTTTACCTTTTCCGAACTCGTGCGTTCTCTTTCCCAACTGTCAAAATAATGTCTATTAAAAAGAAAAAACCAACCACGAAGTTTTTATTAAAAAAAAATCATAGAAGTTTTATGATTCATTTTTTTTATACGATAAGGGTGAAAAACGAGCACACAGTCCACCTGATGGTAAGTGGTTGCTGCGGCCCATAGACATCTACATCTATCCTCTATTACAAATCAAAATGCAGATGCGTTTTCACCCGTGAGGACTAGGATGGAATGCCTCATTTCCAGTAAAAAAGGCCTCCGGCCACCTGCACTCACCAAGCGAAACGCAGAGGGTAAACCTCTACTTCACGCTGGTATTCTGTGAGGTCGTGGTACCACCCCGGTTCGAGCCGGCCCATCCGTGCGACAGCAATAGCTGCCGCCTGGCTCGGCTCTACCACTGTTTAACTGTCTGATATTGAAACAAATTAGTAGCTTCTTTTTAGAAATTTCATGCAAATATTTCTAAAAAGAAGCTACTAATTTGTTTCAATATCAGATTTAATGATTTGATTCAGTTCAGAGTTAGGTTAGGTTTCATTTCATTTTATCTCATTAAATTTAATTTTCATTTCATATAAATAAAAAAATTCTACTGAAGACTTAGCTGTATGGGCATAGTTCCCTTTGCCTACCCAGAATGGGTAAAGAAAACAAAAAAAATCTCTGCTTATATTCTTTTACGGTTGGCGCCATTTTCCAAAAATGTTCTTTATTAAATTGCTTCATTTTTTCACAACTGTATTAAAAATAGTTGTTCAGTACACGTGCGGAACCGTCATTGCAACTTGTTCCGACTGTCAACCCTCACCTTCGGCTGCGCCACGGCTCGGGTAGACATTTGTCGGAACTCTTTGCAATGACAGGCTTTCCGCACTTGTAATGAAATATACTATTTAAAAAATGGAAGAAAATTTTAAGAAATGCTTAGTTTCTTTCTCTCTCTTTTCATAATAATTAGAAAGATACAGGTATATAGATAATGAAGTAAGCTATAGTAAAGTTTTAATTATAATTATTATGTGTGTCAGCGACGGGCGGCTGGGCAGTGTGCGTGGAGGGCGTAGGGTGGCGCGCGGGCGGTGCGGTGTCGCTCCATGAGGGCGCCGGCGTCACGCTGTGCGTGCTGGCGCGCGCGCACGCCGCTCGGCACGCGCTGCGCCGCGACCGGCCGCCCGCCGCGCTCGCGCTGCACCAGGCGCCGCTGCACAAGGTACAGTCCGCACCGCACCGCGCCGCACCGCACCCGCACCCACACTACCCGCCTCGCGGGGCAAGAACGATTTATATCGGTCTCGCACCGACTAAAACCCCATGCTGTTCCACCTTCGCCGCATATTGGCAGGGCCACGGGAACGCTTTCGCATACATCCGCGGCCCCATCATCGCCGGCCGCCCCATGGCAGCCCCTTCTCGAGGGAAGACCTCTCCTCCTCATTCTCTTTCTCAGGCAATGCGCACCAGAAACACACGGCACGCCGCCCTCCACGGCCTCCAACTCCACCTGCGTATCGGACCCCTCCGAGTCCGATACGCGGAGGCCATAGGGCCAGGAAATCGAGCGCTTAGTAGCACCCACTTTCTCCACCCCTGGATGGATCTGGTCTCTGGCTCCGCCGCCAACCACGTTACGGCCGCGGAGGGTAAGGAAAGCAGCGCCTCGCAATACCGACACTCCTCTCCCTCCGCGGCCCCACCACCACCGCATCAACGGTGCGGCCCCGTCAGAGTCGCGGAGGATAGGGCCAGTCAGCACCACACCCGCACCTGCACCCACACCTACACCTACACCTACACCCACACCCACACCCACACCCACACCTACACTCACACCTACACCCGCACCTACACCCACACCCACACCCACACCTACACTCACACCTACACCCGCACCTACACCCACACCCACACCGACAACAACACCAACCAAACACTTTTATGAAATCTTTAAATTCGCAATAAAAAATATTGAGGGTTATATAACGGGGTAAAAACTATCCTACCTCTCAAGTTAGAACAAGAAATACAGATTTACAAAATTTCATTAAAATCGGTTGAGTGGTTTCAGAGTTAATTCATCACGGACAAACGTAATTTTTATATCTATGTATACTACTTAACCGGCAATACCCTCATTGCCGGTCTACCACGTAATCGTGCTTTCTCTCTTTCCTTTATATGGCAATAAAAAGAGACAGGTTTGGAGATAATACTTAATGATATTTGGCATCCACAAATTTTTCTGCCACCAAGTCAACCACTTTGTATTGAAATGTTATAAATTAGTTATATTTTGTATTGATTACATTAGAAATTAACGTACATCCGCCCGAAGTAATTTTTTATCAATTTTAATATAATGGACTTCCGCAAAGTAACGCCTGATTCTATTAATTACATTAGAAATTAACGTACATCCGCCCGAAGTAATTTTTTATCAATTTTAATATAATGGACTTCCGCAAAGTAACGCCTGATTCTATTAATTACATTAGAAATTGATAAACCAAACTACGGATATTCCTTAAAATAGTAGAATTTAAAAAAAAAGCCTAAAATATTGACAGTAATTTTGTGCCCAATATATTAATACCGTAATGCCCGTCTAATAGTACACTTAGAAGTGTTTGACACCAACACCAACAATGACACCAACACGCCGCTACTCGCGCACGCGTTACTGTCACATGTGAACATACGCCTCCCTCATATATTGCCTCATAGTATGTATATTTCCCATAATTGCTACGCTTAGCAGGCTTGTTGACAATCGCAGTTTTTTATTTTTAGTTGTTATCAGGTACATGCTGCTGTACATTTTCTGATTGTTTCGCTCTGACGACTCTTACGAGTTATATTGACAATGTCATTGAAAAATAGAATCATAAACAGCGGAAAATACTTAAATATATACTTAAGTAATATAGTTTTTTTTTTAAATTTCTGATCGCATTTACTATCAAAATATTTTAATCAATTAATTACAATTTTTTAGTTATTTAATGAAATTAACTTAACTGAGGTTAGGTTATGAAAGTAAATACAAATAACTTCTTGAGTCTTAAGTAAGAGAAGTCATGTTAACTAATACCGAAGATAACGTTAATTAATAAAATCAATAAAAATAAAGATCAGTAATAAACAATAACACATTGTTAATTTAAACAAAAGTTATGTTAACTCAACTGCGAATCTAATTTTCAATCATTCATATTGAATATTTCCTTTCTTTAAGGTTTTTTTAAGCTGTTCTGTTTTAGTTGTCTACTTCTTGTTATTTACTAGTCAAGTTGCTTAAATTCCTAACACGCTTTTTTCTAGATGGAGTTCCTTCCCGGAGAATGGCCACCAACAATGGTACCGCTGGCCTTTGAAGCAATCGGTCTCACTTCAGGCCCGGTTCTATGTACTGAAGAGCAGAAATACGCGTTGGAGGGAGTGCAAGTGGAACTTCCATACACGTGTCGAACAGAAGCTCCGTATACTGCTCAGCCTGTCCTTGATCTACCCAATGGTAAGAATTTCTCTATATAAGTCCGTAATTCTGGAAATGGGCCTCTCCCACAGTAGGAAGGATACGCAACGCTAAGCAGATTGGCGATTACAATTTCAAACCTCTCACAAATTTGTAATAATAATAATAATGTTTATTTCAGATTACATATCCATACATATTTGTTAGTAATTAATATAAACTAAGTTAGTAAAAATATAATAATAATAATAAAATAAGGATAAATAAATTATATCAATAGGACGAGAGCAATCAGTTAAGAAACTTGAATGTCCCATCCACATGCATTAGGATCCAATGCCTCTGAATGGGACAGTCAAGCCTATCTTGAAATATCCTGAAGACACCATTTGAGCTCTTCCGTAGTCTGCATAACATACACGTGGTTCGCTTCCTTGTGATGCTATAAAAATCATCAACACCTGCTTCAGCAAACATGCTTGAAGCACTACAGTATCTAGGAAGGCCCATTAGCATCCTGAAGGCATTATTGAATTCGAAGCGTATTGTAGGTCCTCTGCATATAGTCACACCACAGGTTGCAGATGTAAAATGTTTGACAATATGCCTTGAAGAGGGTAATTAGATATTTAACCTAATTTTTTTAAGTTCAAAAATACAATACAAAACCTAACCAAATGTATTATTTTGTCCAAGTATCTTAACAATATCTTGAAATAGAAAAAAATTAGCAATTTACATTTTTTATAAATTTGGTAATTACTATTCATGTCAAACATCATATTTTTTTAATTCAATGTGTTAAAGTTCTGTAATTCGAATTGTGTTAGGTCAAATGGGCTGCTCAATAATCCCGGCAAAACCGGTCGTGGAACCAACGGAAGTCGAGATTTGCGCAGAGTGGGGAGTGATGAGAACATGTACAAAAGTGTTACTGCTGCCTCCCATACAAGTTTCCAATAACAAAGTTTCTGTGGCCGATCCACCGGCAACATTCACGGTCAGTGGCCACAATCACGCGCTCAAGCTGGTCAAAATGACCACATCACCGGGCCTGAAACTTGAAATGACCTCCAAGGATGGTGAGATCACGGTCACGGTCACCGTCAAGAGTGAAACGGTGGCGTGTGGTGTTGGACACGTGCATGTGTCATCAAGACTAACCGCACAAGATATAACAGTTGAAGTTGAAAGGGAATGTGATGTTGCGTGCGGGACTTTGTTGGGTGCGATATTCTCACTTCTGAAACCGTATCTCTCTACGTTGATAACCGTTATTGCTATCGCCGCCGCATATTTGTATGGTGAGTTTTCATTTTTATTCAACTACTCAGTTGATTTGACGCAAATTTATTTATGACATAAATAAACCGCATTATAATTGATTGGAATTTCATAATTATTCTTAACTTCTAAATAAGAGTGTTATATTATAAACCACAGATAATCTGATCTTTTATGCTTCAGTAATTAATGTCATAGATAAGTTTGTTTTGCACTTTTTTTAATATGCTCACTATGATGGAGAGGTTATAAAATATTTTAATTATTTGTTATATGACTTCTAGGAGGTTGTGGTGAAAAATAATGAGAAACAATATAATCGATGACCTGTCAGCATTTCGGTATTAGGCTTCTGTTAACTTGTAAAAAATTGTCTTATTGTCACGTTTGACAGACTGATTTGCAGTCTCAGTAGAGAAGTAGTAAATAAAGTTTATTTTTTTAATTTTGGCAATTTTTCTAATATATAATAAGAATATATTATTATCTTGCATATTTCTAAGGTAATGATAAGATATGGGTTATCTAAAGCTGGTATTCAGAGACAATCCCGAGTTAACACTCAATATCCACAATATCAAAATTTGACATGGAAAATTTTTAACTCGATAGAATAGAGTGAATTTGTATAACTTGGTACTCGAGTGAAAATAAATTTTACTCGAGTCCGCTTGCATTCGAGTTACCGAGTCAACTCGACATACCATGTGGATTCGAAAAGCACTAGATAGATGTCAGTTCACTAATCCACTAATTCTATCATCTAATCAACTAATTCACATAGTATAAGGCGCCGCGGGTGAAGTCACTGGTTACATCGAAATTCAAACTTGCATTTTGGCATGTTGTAAACAAATATGAACTTAGTTTGATTCATATTTTTATAATATCGTGATTGTTTATTTTTTGTTACTTCGTATAAGTAGTGCATAACATAAAAGATGATTTATACATAATTGTTTGTTATCACTGATAGATAACAGTAAAGTTAAAAGTAAAGTTGCAGCCTATTTACGTCCCACTGCTGGGCGCAGGCCTCCTCTCATTTCTGAGAGGGTTTTAGGGCAAGGAATGTACGCCGCGCTGCCCCAATGCGTGTTGGCGAACTTCACATGTCTTCGAAATATTTTTTTTCTTATTTCTCAGACATGCGGGTTTCCTCACGATGTTTTCCTTCACTGCCGAGCACGTACTAAATCAGCACTTAAAATTGCAATTAACAATTTAATTGGTGTCGGCGGGGATCTAACCCGGGTTGCTCGAGTTAGATCCCCGCCTAATTACGTCCCACTGCTGGGCGCAGGCCTCCTCTCATTTCTGAGAGGGTTTTAGGGCAAGGAATGTACGCCGCGCTGCCCCAATGCGTGTTGGCGAACTTCACATGTCTTCGAAATATTTTTTTTCTTATTTCTCAGACATGCGGGTTTCCTCACGATGTTTTCCTTCACTGTCGAGCACGTACTAAATCAGCACTTAAAATTGCAATTAACAATTTAATTGGTGCCGGCGGGGATCTAACCCGGGTTGCTCGAGTACTGTGAAGCTTACAGCGAGCGCTAACCATCTGAGCTACCACGGCTTCAGTCAGTGATAACAATGACGCAATAAAACAAAAATCGTCAGTGTGGCATTATTTAAAAAAATCGAGATGGAAGCGATTTGTATTTTGTAATATATGTAAAAAGCAGTTTACAGATTTTGAAATAATACAGATATGAAAAAGAAGTATGGAAATACTACAAATAAATAAATATTTGTTTTTTATTTCACATTGCCACATTTTACATTTTTAATAAAGGTACCTATTTAAAATGCTTTAACTAAAGTAATCGCTACTCTCAACTCGATTGATAAACTTCAATCGATGCAGGGACAATAAATAGTTAGTTCTAATAGCTCAAAAACTCAAGTACAACTAGAGTGACATGATAAATTATTATTAACTCGCATTATTAATAATACGCAAACCAAAAATATATAACTACGTATTAAGTTTAGTAATAATAATTATGTTGGATGGAAGAACAAAATGTAAATATAATTTGTAACAAACTGATACAGCTTCTTTCAGCCAATTCGAGTAGCGTTATTCGAGTACTATTCGACTCAAGTTAACTCGCGTCGAGGTTCTTCCGAATTAGCACATATCTACTAATTTTTTTTTTAATATTACATTAGCAGAACCAATAACCTGAACACAAATAAATATCAAAACAATTCTTTTTTTTCTGATTTCTTGATTCCGTTTAGATTTTCATAAAATTTGTAGGCCTTTTACTATATTAAATTGGTATCTTTTTTTAATTCATTAAAATTTCTAGTGGGCCCAAAAACGACTGTCTCCTTTATATGCATTGTAATTTAAAAAGAAATACAATATATTCCGATTTTAATTTTTTTCTCTATAGCTAATCGATATTATTTTATTGCTTTACTTTGGGAATCGGTAATCGCCATTCGCTAAATCAATTAAACATTGTTCCATCTCTAAATACGCCAAACTATAACCTGTCATCTGCACCATCTTACAACGCAAAGAATATAGCTTTAGGCTGACCAATTCAGTTCACACTTTATTAATCATAAATATTTCTAACTCGCTTGCAACACAAAATGAGTATTATTTAAAAGATCTCTTACGAAATCATATATCCAAATTCGAAAAGGTCCAGATAAAGTTGGGTATATAGAAATTTTACAACCTCTTTCGGATGCTATTAAACAATCTTCTAAGGAAGAAATTTTTCCAGTTTATTCAATTATATTTCTTTTTATTTTTCTCCTGTTATTAGTTTTATTTTATCTTTAATAGTTTGAATATTAATTCCTTATTATTATTCAAACTATTAAACTATTATAGTGTAGTACTTTTTAATAGATTGCTATACGGATGTTGAGACAATACAGACTAAGTGTATAAAATCTAAAATATTATAAGATTAGTAATTACGTTAATAAAAAGAGAAAACGTATAAAATATATTTGTGTTTGCAGTTCAACAACGTCTCCAAAGTAAAGGCCAGATCCGTATGCCTATAGACCCGGCAATGCAGACTGTACTACCGCAGGAGTCACCGAGCCGAGTGCAGCGGTCGCGTACTTGGTCGCGGAGTCCTTATGCATCGGGTGGGCCAAATGTAACCCACGTGCCTGATGTTCCTGTATACGGAGATGCCAGTGTGTTGCCAGACAACAGTTTCTCGCCAAATTCCACAAGGACACACTCTAGGTTCCTATAGCAGGCACATGCTGTCATTTGATTTTGTAGTCAACTTTTTATAATTTATAATAATAATTAGAATAAGTAGTATTTTTGTACGTAAAATAGTATACTTGGTTAATGATCTTAGGCTCTATGGTTTTGTGTTCTTTATTTTTCAGTGTTTTAAAAAAAATGTGTTAAAAAATAAGGCCTTCAATGTTCTGATTACTTTCAAAAGAAAATTGACTTGATATAAAAGGTTCTAGTCCTTATTGTTGTTGTTCAATAAGTTTTTTAAGAAAAACAAATGAAATATTCATTGATGGCAGCCAGTATTCACTATAATAAATAAGTTTAAGATAACAGTTGTTCATGGTTCATATTTTTTTAAATTCCCGCTTTGAAAACTAATAATTTTCAAAAGTAGGTAGTTATAGATTTCGGTTCGATTTTGAGAATGCAAGTTTTCATCAGATTTCCACGTTTTGAGGCCCTATATAGGAAGCCGTTTCGACTATTCCCGGCTGGATGTCCGGTCGCGCGCGCGCTTGTGTGTGTGTGTGTGTGTGTGTGTGTGTGCGTGTGTGCGCGCATGCGTGCGTGTGTGTGTGTGTGTGTGTGTGTATGTGTTACAGTCAAAACTCATAACCGGTCAAAACCACTTTAACATGTGCGTGTGTGTGTGTGTGTGTGTGTGTGTGTGTGTGTGTGTGTGTGTGTGTGTGCGTGTGTGTGTGTGTGTGCGCGCGCGCTCGCGTGTGTGTGTGTGTGTGTGTATGTGTGTTTTACAGTCAAAACTCATAACCAGTCAAAACCACTTTAAAATGTAAAAAAATCAGTCAAAAATAGTTTTAACTAAGGACGTTTGTAAATACCACTTTTAACTGCAAAAATACTGGGTAATAGTGATTTTGACCAAATTACATCGGTTAAAAGTGGTTTTGACTAACAATGTTAGTCAAAACTTGTTTTGACTTATATTTTTTGAATTTCTAAAATTAAAAAGTTCAATTTCTTCAATATTATATTTTATATCATTATAATGTACGCGGCTTTAGGGTGGCCCAAGGGCCGCCCTTACCGCCGCACCTTAACCTACTGTTACTGATATTGACACTTGACTGAGAATGTTGGCTAAAACCACTTTTGACTACAAAAATAAGTCAAAATTGTTTTTGACTAAGGGCTTCGGTCAAAACCATTTTTTACTGAATTTTGCAGTTAAAAGTGGTTTTGACCGGTTATGAGTTTGAACGTGACATATGTATGTAAATAAAATTTTGTTGTACGATATCTTTAGAACGAATCAACCGATCGATATGGGCGAAATCAAAAACGTTCATTGAGATTTCGAGCTGATTGGATTTTCAAGTCAATCGGTCGAGCCGTTTCAAAGATTTTTTTAATATTAAAAATACAAATTTATGTGATTCATATTTTGTACAAAAATTACAAAATTAAAATATAATACCGAATTCATTGATATGAAAGTAAAGAATAGTAAAGGAGTATTAATAATTGACTTAATTTGTACTGGAAAACGATTGCTTATATATGTTGTAAATACTAGACCATAAAACCAACCACTACCTATCTAGTACTTAATCTGTATTGTAGTATAAATAACACTTAAGGCGTTACATTTTTACAGAAGCAAAGACAGGAGAATGAAACGGTTTATTTGACATTATGTAATAAATATTACTTTTTTTTAATGAATTATGTATATATGAATTAAACTGTGTTTTAAGAGCCTTTCCCGATATGATTTTACTGTTCATTTACCTACGTCATAATTTAAATTTCAAGTTTAAACAATTAATTGAATAAGCCTAGATCAGGGTTTGTGTAAATACTTACATACTTACTGGGCAACAGCGAATACAAATGCCTACTTGCGTTGTTCTACTTAGATCGCGTTTGTTTCGCGTTTTACAATATTAAGTATTAACTGCCCTTCAAAAATCCACTGCTGAACATAGGCCGTCCCATTGGTTGCCTCAAAGTTGGGGATATTGCCATTTTTGTCACACTTAGCGTGTTGGAAACCGCAGGAGGGTGATGTTGCCCATCTCCTGGCTTGATTCCCTCTGTCGCTTCTTACGACACCCACTTGACGATATAGAGTAGTGGATATTCTTACACCGTCACTATACAGTCAACGTATGACGAGAAAAGTACATTGTTCTTAATTTATATTTTAATGAAAGCATAACTGATGCCTTTTTGTATGAAACTCTAAAAATCGAAATTTTAATTTGACTCACATTTTATTAGTATTTCTCACGGAATGTAAAAAACAAGAGGATGTAGCTAACCTCATAATTTGTAGCGAAACCATTGTCGCCAAACTCACACATACCAATAATTTTCGTGTGATTGGCTATTAAAAAATAAAAGAGAAAGGCATTATGTTATCATTCACTTGAATAAACGAACTATAAGTCCTTAAGAATAGAGATCATATTCCTTTTCACCAAGGATGTTTCTAGAATTAATGAGCAAATTTAGCTTCTTAACGTTAGATGTCGCAGTAATACTGCGATTATTTAAAAACTCACTACAAATTCTTACTAATAAATATCATTATGTCTTAACCCGAAAAGCTTCTAAGATTGACGAAAAAATTTTGCTACGTGACCCTAAATGTCGCAATAATAAATTCACGCTATTATAGACACAATGCTAATAGATATAACGACATGGCCCTACCTAACCTGTACTGATACGTGAATGATGTTAGTTATGTAGTTACTCTGCCTGACGTGTCTGGCGTATAACTATATTCAGTACATGGTTATGACTGAAGAAACTGAATTGAAAAAACACATAGATACACACAAAAAACTATGTATATCCCCGTAATTCATATAGCCGGCATATAGTTAATTGTCTCTTATAGAAATTTATTGACAGTGAGCTAAATTATCATTTTTGTAATGGGAACAAGGAGAATAACTAAATAATTTAGCAATTATTTATTGTCATTTAAACAACACATATTTGTTAAAAAAAATCGTTTACACGCTTCAATATAAAATTTTAGACGATAATGAATTCAGATACTAATGTAGATCATGATATTACGATTACTTTTATTTCACCTTCTTTCCAAAAGTCATGAGCCCCTGGTATATAGTGTAATATCTATTGTCATGAGTACTACTAAACTACTTATTTACTTCTCTGGATTAGCAACCCTAACAAATGTTTATTCATAGGGTATCACGCTATAATTTCGTATCAAATCAAATCAATCAAATTTTCATTAATATGTCAGAATTAACAGGACTGTGATGAAATTGTATCGAAAACTTTAATATCGCCGTTAGCACAACACATATTTATTTAAAATGTATTTACAGATGAACCTTCTAGTAACGTAATAAGGTTGAATATTACTTGTAATAAAGGCAATTTGACATTGTGACCATGTTTAGTCAAGTTTCTATCCAAAAAAGGAAAAAATTACACATGTCTTTGGTATGAAATACCTCCATTATAAATATTTTTATTTTTTACTTTCGTTTTTACACTCCAATATTGCACAAAATGGCATATAACCGCATATATTACTTAAGCAGCGACCCGTCAGCTAGAAACAATTTGAACCTGCGACAGACAGTCAATTACACTCTACAGTCACTAATTGTGACACGCCTACCCCGCCCACTTTGGGCTTCCTCTTGTTTTTTATATTCCGTGGTATTTTTCCTCCCAAAATCGGAATCGGGATTGTCAATGAAAAATATGTAACAAATATAATTAAATAGCTACTAACCACGTTTAACGGTGTTACAAGTAAAGATTTAACTTGTAATATGTATTACAAATGGTAAGTTAAACAATAATTTTGCCGACTGACTAATGTCCATGTTACATGATCAATTATTTCTTTTTATATAACTCAATTAATTATTTTGTAAAGAAGTGTCTTTTCATATATTCAAAAATATCTATAACTAAATACTTACTGTATAAGATGATAAGATAGATAGATAAGACCTGTGAGAGATCTAGGATTGGTATATCAAATGTCGCAACTACGTAACACGGATGTTTGAGAAGCATTTTGTTTTAATTAGATATTTTGTTTTACGTTAAGCTGTTTTAATTTATTAATTTGTATAATTAATATCAATCAAGCTTTATAAGTATATCGTAATAATTAAATGGTTTGAAATAGATGGATACGTGAAAGTGGTGTGATTTTAAACGTTTCCCTAATATTTCTAAACTAAATGTCTTCACTTATTAGGGAAACGATGTAGTAAGTGATCCAGTGCTGATCTGCTGATATAAACCACAAGTTAATGTGTCGGTTTTGGCGCCTTGAGAATACCATTATCATCGACTATCTGCTAGGTTAAGCTGTCGTCAATATTTGCCAAAAAATTTGCAATGTGATGCACCAATAGATTGTTAAGAATTTTGTTATGAATTGACTTATACACGTAGTACACACACGTAGAATTACATGTATGTGGATACTGGCAAAGGAACAATAAGAAAATAGTTAAACCAATGATATTTAAGATTTAAAAATAGAGATAGGTACATTATGCACTAAATATTCGTCAAATTTCGTTCCATGGTCGCGGCAGTGATTATGTACAATCAATTATGTATTAACTATGGATGCAATGAGGGATAGTTTAATATACGAAAAAACTGTGTGATAATACGAAAAAACTGTATATTATGTTTTGGTTGTTTAGTTAATGTCTAGTTTAAAATGCGATTAACTTGGTGTACAATTTTCAAAAAATATTTAAGTAAACGATCTATAAGTACTTCACAAGAATGCCATTTATACTGTTCTTCTCACGGAATATAAAAAACCAGAGGAAGTAGCAAAACGCATAATTTTTACTAGAATCACTGTCGCCAAACTCATATTGTGCACTATTTTAATATTTTTCGCGTGATTGGCTATTAAAAAATAAAAGAGAAATTCTTTGTGTTACCATCGCTTGAGTACGAACCATAAGTTCTTAAAAATAGATATCATATTCCTTTTCACCAAGGAAGTCCATA